TAGTCCGAAGTGAAATTTATTTCTTAGATATCACTTATATTCACTTATTGGGAATCCTAATGATACGTCGTTCAATCGTCACTGCCGATGCTGCGACGCACAACTCTGGATAAGCAAGGTTGACCATTGACTGTATGATTGTGAATGCAAAAGGTACATTGATTGATTTCATCTGAAGCTTCTCTTATACAATGAAAAGACTCATTTATTGTTGGAGTTAAAGACTTTATTTGATGACAACTAAAAGTAATGTGAAAGCATTCTTAATAAGTCACTCGTTACACCAAAAGCTGTAGCGTTGTGACGTCATAGAACAGTACTAAGGTCCTCATAGATATCACTGTTTAGACAATGGCGCGAAACTTCTCAATTATTAATAAAAATAGGAGTAACTTGAAGGGATTATATTCTTAACCTTACAATATCCATACGTGACATCCTTGACAAATCTTACTAGTGATAAACCACTAATTTCCCTCAAAATATTGACTGCCAGCTGATGCAGTTGAAAATCTTATTACCTAGTATTTTTATCTCAAACAAATCATAATTGTAATACATTTATTATTTGCATTTAATCTGACTTTAAAACGTAAAAATATGAACGTTTCTTTGTGAAGTACTCTACATAAATTTTAAGAAGCTTGATTAAAGAAAGTGATTATAAAATTTAATTAAACGTAATAAGGTCCGTGTTTACAGAACAAAGTAATACGTCAAAGGCAAGAAACGCTATAAAGGCGACACCTGTAAGGAGGAAGAAATTACGGAAGTTTAATGCCGCCTCTGTTGTGATTTCCTGTTGAGGAACTGATCATAATGAGTTGAGTACAACAGCGAACTACCGTGAATCTTAGTTCATAGGTGTTAACTTCCATTAGGGGCGTAACTACCTCCGAGAACTTTTAAAACTTCTTCGTTTGATGTTGCCGGCGATAAGGAAATTTACCCGATACGTTAGAATAATAAATCTCCGTTTCATTGTTATGGAAAAGGGAGTCAATTAATGGTAATCTGAAATTGAGCTGTCGTTAAATTAAAATACTTCAAAGTACTTCCCTGTTCGTAACTTTTTATCTGCTTTTTTAGATCGCATTTTTAATGGGGATTTACGTCGTGAAATTTATGCACTTGCTCAACGATTTATTTTGCTTTTGGTCATTTTGGGTGGAGATTTACTGTGTAAGAGTTAATTAGGAGAAGATTTATAGTATTTTTGAAGGCTGTAATTATGAAAGCTGTATTTAATAAACTGTAGTTAAAAATTATTTAGATTAAAAAAAGATTAAAAGAAAAATCAATAACCAGGTAATTCAATAGTTTCAACCCCTAAGTTTCGCTCACAAAAATATACCAAACGTAAAAAAATTACAAGGTCCAGAAAACACGAGTATGTAAACAAAAATCGTGTCCGTAACACGTAACCGTATTTCGCCGAGCAACACATCAGGAAGAAATTAACGCGTCGATTTAGAGTCCATTGAAGAAAATCCGGTGCAATGGATTTGAGCGAAACGTTCGCGTTAAATGTCCCCGACGGAATCGGCAAACCGAAATGGCGAACGTTTGTGCGCCACCGGAAAGGTTTTAGTCGCCAATAAAATGGATTTTCTCCGACGTTGTCGATATCCGCTTACGGACGATCGAAGAAAGCTCGCCTCGCAACGAATGCCTCGAAAGTCCCTTTGTTCAAATATCATAAAAGTTCCATTATTGCGGAGTGGATGAAAGTTGGTTACATTCACGGCCGTGCGAACGCGTCCATGCATACACACACGATCGTACATCGAATTCCCATCAATCGGCAACTGTAGAACTTTTATGACACCGGATCAACGAAAGAAAGGGACGTTTCTATTAAATATTCGTGTTGGGGACGGTGGTATTGCGGAATCTTCGAATCGTGAAGGATTGGAGGAATGGTACATCTTGTTGGGATATGAGGATTGGGTGCAATTAAATGGCGGTTATTATGCAGGATGTTTGTTTACATCGACTCGTTGATATATTTTTGGTAATATTGATGATGAAGTTTTACATGAAAATTATTTGGTGAATAGCAGATCTTCGACTTGAGAAAGTTTGAAGGGAAGATACACCTTGTTAAAACAAGAGGACAAGGATGGAATACAATTAAGTAGCGGTCGTTATACAGGATGTTCATTTATATAGATTCACTGAGACATCTTTGAAAATATTGACAATACAAAAAATATTTGATATGATTTCATTAGATATTCATATTTAATGAATAATATATTAAAAAAATGTACATACAACTTCATTTAAATAAATTAATTTGAACTTCTTATAGTAGAACCTAATAGTGCATATTAGAATATAATCACATACTTATAGTACAAAAGTTACCTTCACTAAATAGTTTGTCTTTTGAAACCTAATTTTTGTCTAAAAAAATTTTGTGTATCACCAATTTCTAAGATATTAGATGGAATCGATTTAAATGAGACACCCTATAAAATTATAAATATTTATTTATGTTAATATTCGGAATTTGCTGCATCGCAGGGTGAATGCACCTATGAAGACCTCTCGTAATATGACACCTCAGCATTTTTTTCACGAAGTCTTTAAAAGTGACTCAATTTAATGTGAATCAATCTGTGAAGGACCATTTTATTTTGTAAAGTGTTTTGTCCTAAAAAATTAATTAAACTTGCAATCACATATTTTTGAAATACCTTGCAAAAAGTATTAAGTTCTTCAGTAAAAAGGAAAGTGTCTCAGGAGAAATAAAGTACTGGATATACCTATGTTTGTATAGTAGGAAGACTTCTATACATGTACAGTTCTTCTATAGAAAAAAATGGAAGCTAGTTGATAGCCAATTAGAATCAAATACCTTTATGATACTGGAAATAGCTATAGAGTGCTTAGTTTCATTATGAAAGGTCCTCGTGGGAATATCGTTAACCAGCATTCCAGACCCAAGGGTTCTATGGTGGTCAGGTTATCATGTGACATTAGATATTGAATCGAGTAAATGCTAGAAACTTCAATTAAATTCTACTTATCGTTGTATGAGAGTTAGTGAAGATAATAGAGCTAAATTGTACTAATTTCACTAATCCTATCTTTGTATGATCTCTTTGAGGGAAATTAGTGTGAACATTTTTAAATAATGAGTACATCTTGAGAATAGTATAATGGAGAATGGTAGTATGGCTTTGAAAAAGGTTTTCTTAATCAAATATGAAAGATATTAAAATTATAAGTAATTGTTATAAATGGAAATTTATTTACAACAGTTCTAGTTTTAAATAAAAAAAATAATTATGAATATTATAAATATTAAATTGAACTAAACAAAATGAAATATTTATAAATGTACCAATAAAGGTAGTAAAATATACTACAGCTAAGATTTGATCAAATTATTTAAAAACTTCAACCACTTAAATCCATCACTAGCGTAACACAAAATGGCTACCAGTCTCCCAACAAACAATGAACGATCCCATAATGCAGTATCCGCCTTAATAAACTCTAAGAAAATTAATTAATTCAATCTTCCAAACTTCTGGAAGCAAATAACGCAGAGGAAAATTTCCTACATTGCACAACTTATGAAAACATCTCCGTAAAATCCCCTGCTGAAGAATGTTTCCTAACTCAATTTCTACGTAAATAGAAACTATTTAGCTCCGTAGGGAACCTTAAAATTAATTCGCAAACTTTGATAAACAAAAGCTCCATTTCCGAAGCACGAACATGGCCTGCAGGCGAACACAGGCGCGCGGGCTTTTCAAATTCGCGTATCAATTTTCCGACCGGTTAACAGCGTAGCAACTTCCGTTCGACAGGTATCGATTTATTCGGAAGATCGAGCAGTCTCGATGAGCGGAACTGGAACGGACATTGATAGCAGAGAAAAGAACATTCCTCTCTTTTTTTCGAACGAGCAATTAGGAATTGACGGGCATCGTCAAAGGTTGAATCGACGTGTTACGCGCGAAACTACGACGGCTCGCTGCGTCGCCGTAAATGTCGTTAAAAGGCTGAAATATAAATTCCCGAGGGAACTGAAGGGGGAACGTGCTGAGGACGAAAGTGTATTGTGACACAGGATACAGTCGCTTTGACGCTATTTTTCGTCGCACGAAAACGCTTTTTTGAGAGGGAATTGTATCGTACATGTGGCACGGCTTTCAATATTTTATCAGTTTGATGAACTGGCGCGTTTGCTGCACGAGAATTGTGGCAATTTTCGCGGGTATAAATGGCAATCGTAAATCTGGACGTACAATATTGCGAGAGACTGCTGTTACATCGATATTGTGTACTGTTAATCGATCTACGCCTTAATGACTTATGTTGCTTGCAAATTGCGTTTAGCCTTTTCTGACTCAATAACCCCTACTTCTATCAAAAAATAAATTCATTCTGTATTAAACAGGATATTACAATTAATTTTTTACAAGCAATTTACAAAATGAAATTGACCTACAAAATAAATTATAAGTTCCACAAAGAATATTCCATGCATAGAATAAGCCATATGCAGGTACCAAGTACAGTATCCTTTAGACAAATGTATTAATAAATTCAAAAAACAAAAATAATTAAGCAAATGTATTAGGACTTGTATAATTCCAAAATTGATAAAAATGGATCAGAGTTTGTACATTTAAGAGCTTGATAATTTATGGGTTTTGAAGTGTGGCGATTTTAGGATGTGGGAACTGAGGGTTTAGGGATTTGAATGTACTAAGAAATTGTCTATAAAAATGTGCAAATTGGTAAAAATAATATGAACAAGTTCAAAACCTAAAAAACTACCAAAACTTCGTGAAATAAACTGCACTCGTTGCACGGAAACTATCAAAGGCAGTCCAAGCGGTCGGAAAAAGCAAGTTAGCAAACGAGCGGTCAGTTCAGTGTAGGATTAGTTTGGGCGATGGAGTAACGCTTTCAATCAAACTGCCACGCGTCCTCCATCGATTTTCCACTAATTAAACTAAACGTTGTGTGCGTGACAGGTGGACGTCTCGACCCAGGTGGATCTGCACGGCGGTTTCACGGCAACCACCGGCAACATTAGCATCGACTGGGATCGCAGAGCGACTCCGCTCTACTCACGCGAGGACATCAAGGAGCAGTATTGCATAACCAGTCGACAGTTGGACGCCGTGGAGAAATCTGGAGGTGGTTTCTTCGGGTGTTTGTCGACGAGGGGACCCTCGCCTTGTAGCGCCGCTAGAACCTCGATTCTTTCCGCTTGCGTTAGAAGCGTGCCAAGCGATGAGAACCTCTGCGACGTACCGTACCCTCGGCGACCCCTGCAGATCATGTACCGACAACCGTACCCCACGTACTCGAGGGGGCTGTCACGGTATGACTTCGAGGATGAGGCTGACTGGATCGAGAGTTCCTACTTCCGACGGCGACCTAGGTCGTTTTGCACCGTTCCTGACCCGAAAAGGTAGCTGTTCTAATTTTGGCAGGTTGCGGTGCAATATATATGTAACGAATGTTTGCGAGTATGGGAAGGAATTGGAGATCTTGGAATTTGGGGAGAGGGGTATTTGCAAATTTTGGGATTTTGAGGTTTTGGGATGTGGAGGCTTGGAGGTGTGGGAATTTTAGGATGTGGGGATTGAGGGTTTGAGGTTTAGGGATTTGGGGAGATTGAGATTTGGGAAGGTTGGGATTTGGGAAGGATGGAATTTGGGGAGATTGGGATTTGGGAAGGTTGGAATTTGGGAAGGTTGGAATTTGGGGAGATCGGGATTTGGGAAGATTGGGATTTGGGGAGATTGAAATTTGAGAAAATTGGAATTAGGGGAGATTGGAATTAGGGGAGATTGGGATTTGAGGTGATTGGGATTTGGGGAGATTGGGATTTGGGGAGATTGGAATTTGAGAAAATTGGAATTAGGGGAGATTGGGACTTGGGGAGATTGGAATTCGGGGAAATTGGAATTTGGGGAAATTGGGATTTGGGGAGATTGGAATTTGGAGAGATTGGAATTTGAGAAAATTGGAATTGGGGAAGATTGGGACTTGAGGAGATTGGAATTCGGGAAGATTGGAATTTGGGGAAATTGGGATTTGGGGAGATTGGGACTTGGGGAGATTGAAATTTGGGGAGATTGGAATTTGAGAAATTTGGAATTGGGGGAGATTGGGACTTGGGGAGATTGGAATTTGGGGAGTTTAGGATCTGGGGAGATTGGGATTTGGGGGTGGTGGAATTGGGAATAGTGGGATTTGGGAATGATGGAATTGGGACATAAGAATATTCATATTTGGAGATATTGTAATTGCAAGATAGTGAAATTTAATGACATTACTACTTGAGTACATCAAGATTTCAAAATATTGATACTTAAAAATATTAATAGCTGTCAGAACTTTGGATTTCGAGACATCACTACATTTTTTAATTTCAAAACATGGTTCCTCAAAAATGTTCAAATTCTAAATTTGCCTAAATTTCAAATTCTAAATTTGAACATTTATAAGTTTAAAAGTTTAATAAGAAGTCCAAGAGAAATCTAAGATCCTATCCTCATTCTTCTTCGAATAAATCCTATCAACAATTTTATCCAACATAACGCGTCCAAAGAACGTTCACAATTTTCCCGTTTCGATCCGTACGAATGAAAAAAAAGTGCATTCACCCGTAAAGCATTAATACTTGGTCGCGCAGCAAATTTACAGCCTCGTTCGTTGCGACGACGATAATATTCTTGGGACGTAAAGAGCCTTAGCACTCCGATGAAATATCTGATCCTTCACGGTGCCGTGATTCGACCGCGTAAATATTCCGAAGTGGCAGGTAAGGAGAATTAACCATTTAAAGAAAGACATAAAACTGCGGAACTTTAATAGAATCTTAAACAAATGGAATCCTTAAAAGTTTTGTGAAGTCAAACTTTTGGAAAGTGGCTGTTATAGGAAAAGGGAGTTTATATGGGTACCATAAGGTGTTCGGTGTTTCAGTTTATTTCTGATTAGCGGGAGCTGCGATGACGAGAATGTTTCAAGGTTGCGAGTGTGCGATCGATGAAAAATTATGTTCTCGGGGTAAATTACAGTATTTATACGTTACCGGGGCGTCGATGCGAAAGCTGCGGAAATAAATGTGACCATACGGCTGATTAATGCTCGGTAGGGTGCACAGAGGCGGCCCTTTGCTCTTCCGAAACGGAATTGTTTCAAATATATTGTTCCGAATAACATAATCTAGTGTATTTCATCTTCAATTATGTTGTTTCAACATATGACAACTTCTTAACGATCGAATGATACACAGATGTCAAACTATGAGTTGGTGCTAGGTACAAAGTAAAAGAAGGTTTATGAACACTAGCAGTGACATACAAATAAGAATATTAATGACAACTGCTGAACGCAAGTAGCATCTAACTTGAGAGACGTTTCAAGACTGTCATTGTTTTTCGCCTAATTGATGTGCGTGACGGCGAGAGCCAATCTACCGCCGAAAATACGTGCGAGTGGCGTCCACTTTTCTATTCTGACCAATTGTGCCGTAGCTACTTGGGTTGTACCGGTTTGGAGATGTGGGAATTTGGGAATATAGCGATTTGGGGCTGTAGCGATTTGGGTGTGTGAGAATTTTGGAATATGGGAATTTGGGAATGGAGGGATTTGGGGAGGTAGGGATTTGGAAGTGTAGGTATTCGGGAATGTGGGAATTTGGGGATATGGAGATTTGGGGGTGGAGTGATTTAGGTATGTGAGAATTTTGGAATATGGGAATTTGGGGGTGGAGGGATTTGGGGATGCGTGGATTTGGCAAGGTTGGGATTTGGAGATATCGGAAATTCGCAAGGTTGGGATTTGGGGATGTGGGGATTTGGGAATATGAGGATTTGGGGATGTAGGGATTTGGCAAGGTTGAGATTTGGGGACGTGGGGATTTGGAGACGTTGGGATTTGGGGACATTGGGATTTGGGAACGTAGGAATTCGGAAAATTAGGTAACGGGAACGTGGGAATTTGGGGACGTAGGGATTTGGGGACGTAGGGATTTGGGGATGTTGGAATTTGGGGATGTCGGGATTTGGGGATGTTGAGATTTGGGGAATGTGGGAAATGGAGAATGTGGGATTTGGAGAATGTGGGAATTGTGGAATGTAGAAATTGGGGTGCGTGGGAATTAGGGAATGTGGGAATGGGAGAATGTGGAAATTGGGAAATGTAGGAATTGGGGTGCGTGGGAATTAGGGAATGTGGGAATCGGAGAATGTGGAAATTGGAGAATGTTGAAATTAGGGAATGTGGGAATTGGGGAATGTGGGTATTGGGAAATATGGGAATTGGGGAATGTTGGAATTCGGGAATGTAAGAATTATAATCCCTCCTCAAAAATATTGAAAACTGCTCTCTGCAAATTAAATACTATATCAGTAATTGATTCAATTCCACTTTTGTAAAATTCAATCAACCCGCACTCGAGATTACTACGAAGAATAATATTATTTTTAAACAAGTTCCTTACAAATTTAAAGTTGAATCCCGTGTACTCAATAATTTAATCCGTTTTCAAGATTGAACCTCATTAGACATTCTTTTAAATAAAAATAATCTTTCAGTACCATTACTTGCGAAGTTATTTTTACTATCGAATTTGAACTAAAGAAATGGTTCTCATCTAAGACAATTAATTTCTGACGAGCTCTGTATCGGAGACAGATACGGAAGACGTATCGATTTCACACTACAAATAGACAACGGAGTGTACAAGGGTCGCACAAGGTAATGGTAACATTTGTTACAGACATTTACTATGTTCATGTATGTAGGTACTTCGCGTATGTTACAACACGCTTATGTTATTAACGCAAGTTCACTGCCAATAAAAACGACTATACCCATTACGGTACAATGTAATAAAAGTTATTATTATACAACACGTGACGTAAATCGGTCACCGCCATATTTCATCTGGCCCTGATAGTTTAACGTTAAAAAGGTGTTGTGAACTTTGTTGTTATTAAAATGGAGGGCAGCTGTTTTTATAATAAGAATACGTCAAATTGAGAATTTAGGGACTTGTGGATTTGAGGAATGGATAAATTTGAGAATTTGGCAATTTAGGAATTTGGGGATTTGGAGATTTAGGGGCTTAGGGATTTGGGGATTTGGGGATTTGGGGATTTCAGAAGTTGACAAATTTGAAAATTTGGCAATTTGGAGGTTTGGAGATTTAGGGATTTGGGGATTTGGGAATTCAGTCAATTTGGGAATTTGAAAATTCGGAATATTGGGAAAATTGGAAAATTTGGGAATCCAGGGATTTGGGGTTTGGAAAGCTTAGGATTTCTGGAGTAAGAAATTTAGAAATTTAGGAATTTTGCGTGTGAGAAATTTTGAAATTTGGCATTTAAGAATTAGGATTTGAAGAGCTGAGAAATTTAAGCGCTTGGTAATTTTAAGATTTGTTATTTTAAAAATTTGAGGAATTGCAAAATTTGGGTTTGAAACCTTCAGAAATCCGAAAGGAATAATTTAAGCCATTCGCAAGCATTTCTAAAGAACAAACCTCCCCAAAGTATCATTAAACCGTGCAAAACAAGACCAATGCTAACCATCAGTAAAGAATGCAAACAGAAGTGAAAAATTACAGTAAAATTACGGTATCCAAGTCGGCCGAATAAAAGGCAGATTTATTTCATTAAAATCGGAAGAAGACCCAGCAGAGGCCACCGTTATTACGTTCCCCTCGAAAAGGGGTGTGAAATCTAAATGCATGAAATTTAAATGCAATTTATTTGGGTCGTCGGTGCAGTGTCGTAGAAACAACGCGCTGTCACCCACTTTTCCCAAGATAATGGCTGTCACGCGTGTGAAGATCGGCTCGTGGCCGACACAATGGAAATGAGAATGTAACCATGGCGTCTGGCAATATCTCCGCGACGTTTCTGTGGCGTATTAATAAAAAGAGAATACCTCCGGGTTGGAATAAATGTCTATTGTTTAAGCGGTTAATTAAGCTGGCCGTAACTAGGAAGTCTCAGCCGGCGGCATACTTTAATCCTAATGTCAACCGGTCGAAAAAAAGGGATGACGGACTTTCTTTAGATCGTTAACGCTCATTCTTTGCCCTGCGGTTATGAAAGGATCCACTGCGGCACCTGTTGGACTCCCATTGGCCAAAAGAATGCACACGGTTGTGTATTATGTATCTACCTTGTTTGCGGTTTCAATTTTGGTCGGCGAAGATTGTTTGCGTACAAATGCGCGGCCTTTAGATTGCTACGTAATCGTGCGCCTGCAATCTTTTGAGGTTAACTCGCACACGTGACCAGGGCCGCCATTAAGCGACAGAAAATGGCGCGCTTATTCGTGGACCCACATTTACTTTACATTCACGGATTTTTTGTACTGAAAGTTCTTGGATGTGCAAATTTTCGGGCGCACTTTCGAGTTTTCTGATGGTTTGCATTCAGAGTTTTTTTTTTTTTGCGTTTAAATTATTTTTTTAGAGCGGTTTGTAGAGAGTGAAAGGTTCATTTATGGACTGAAGAATCTCTGCATTTATTAATTTGTAGTTTTTGGTACTTTGAGATTATTAAGTTTAGGAGTTTAATGTTGAAATTCAGAAATGTGACACTTGTTATATTCATAAATTTAAAAATTCACTAATTTAAAACTTCTTGTATTCACAAATGATTAAATTCAAAAATTTAAGACTTGTTATAATTACAAGTTCTCAAAATCAAAAATGTGAGACTTGTTACATTCACAAATTTTTTAATTCAAAAATGCAAGACTTGTTATAATTACAATTTTTAAAAGTCAAAAGTGCAAGACTTGTTACATTCGCAAATTTTCAAATGCAAAAAGGCAAGACTTGTTATGTTCACAATTTATCAAATTCAGAAAAAGGCTTGTTTTCAGATATTGAACTTCAGGTGCCTCTAAATGTTGACATTCTTTAAAATTTCTTTTTTAAATATTTATAAATGTAATTTGTTGTAAGATAGTTGTTTTTTGTGACAGGTATACGTGGCTTCCCGAGGATGAAGAATCGACGAAACTGGAAGGTCCCCGACCGGTTTTACCACCTGCACCCCCGCCCCCCTCGTCGCAAGCACCAAAAACGAAGCACGTGAGCTTCGCGAGATCGCACACTCTAACATCCTTCGATGTTCCAAGGGGCAGAAGTCCTCCAAGACCACAACACCAGGAACGCCTTATAGATTCGCAACCGACAATGCAAAACGCGATGCTACCCTCGACTTTACCCTTGTTACGTCCCTATGCACCTAGCGAGCCTCGTATTCTTGTCCTTGGTAAGTTTCCACCCTTATATTTTTCATATTTTGAAGAATATGTGATAGAAATAATTGTGTATGACACATGAAGGCATACTTCGTAAAAGATATGTAATTTATTGTTTCATACGTTTATACAAAAATAACATATAAAGAAGATAATATTTACCCCAAAATAATTCGAACAAAATGCAGCAACTAAAAATACGAAATAATATAACTGCAACCACGTTAAACATAAATCAAAAAATAAAAGTACTCGAGTTTTGAAATTAAAGCACGTAACCATCACATAAATTTGATTTGTAACAATAAAACGAAAGAGAGAAAGTAAATTTCTTTCGTTTCCTGTAAATCTCATGGTAGAACCGAGAAAGTCAATCTTCACGCGTTCACACTCTTCCTCAAATGGACTCTCGACTCATTTTCCCACGAAAAGCGTGGCGTTGCCCATTCCTCAAAAGGCACGCACACAGTTGCCGGTGTAACTAAATAGGCCCTCAGGTGTAACTTAAAACTATGACCGTACGTTGGTCTAAAAGCACCCTTTAGATAAAATGTTTCAATAGGATGGCGGGCTTGAAATTCTTTTCGCTCGGAGCTACGCGTTAGATCACCGAGGGAAAAGCTTCGCGATGTTTAAGGCCCTTGCAATTACAGCTTTAAGCATCTCGTTGCTGGTGTTTATGTTGATAACTGGGAATTAATTCGTTGCTCGTTTTAATGCGGATAAAGTGATAGTCTAGTTTGCGTGGGGATCATTTATTTCTGATTAATGGTAATCTACATAGTTTCGATAGATTACTGAGGTTAAATGTGATCGGTTTGGGGTAGAATAAAATATGAGGTGGGGTTAGGTTAGGTTCTAGGTGCAAGTCTAGGTTTAGGTCTAGGTGTAGGTCTAGCTTTGATTATGTTAGGTTAGGTCTAGGTTAGATCTAGATTTGATGTATGCTAGATATAAGTCAGATTTGGGTTTGGTTTGGGTTAGGTCTGGGTTAGGCTAGGGTTAGGTCAAGGTTAGACCTCGATCTCAAGGTTAGGTCAAGGTTAGACCTCGATCTGAAGGTTAAGTCTAGGTTAGATCTAGATCTCAAGTTTAGGTCAAGGATAGACATGGATCTGAAGGTTAGGTCTAGGTTAGACCTAGATCTGAAGGTTAGGTGTAGGTTAGATCTAGATCTCAAGGTTAGGTCAATGTTAGACCTAGATCTGAATGTTAGGTCTAGGTTAGATCTAGATCTCAAGGTTAGGTCAAGGATAGACTTAGATGTCAAGGTTAGGTCTAGGTTAGATCTACGGTAGATGTAGGTTAGGTGTTGGTTAGGTCTGTGTCTAGGCTATATTAGCTAAGGTTTAGGGTATTATTGGCTATATCCCATAATTTACATAAGAAGTCTGTGGAAATTCGGATGTGTTCTAAGTTCGCAAAAATTTCAAATTCGCAAATTCTCAAATTCCAATGTTTTCGAATTACCAAATTCCCAAATCCTCAAATTCCTAAATTCCAATTTCCCCGGTCCCCGAATTTTTCTATTCCCAAATTTCCAAACTCCCAAACTCCCAAACTCTTGAAGTCTCGAATTCTCAAATTCTCAAATGCCCAAATTCCCAATTTACATAAATTGTCCGCCCATTAATATGGAAATATAAAGATGTGTGAACGGGAGATTTTTCGCTGTGAATTCGCCCCCTCACGAATTAAGAAATTAAGAAAATTTAAAGGAGACTGCATAATTTCCTACCCCTAGAAGAACTCTATTGGACCGCCTCCGAACGCAGTGCACGAAAACATTAGCATAGAGACGAATATACATTAAAAAGCTACGTAGTCGGAGTATCAGTAATCTCGATAAACAAGCGTTCCGATAAAAACAGCATTTCCTGTTCCGCCGTGAAATTCTTGCCATTCTCATGAATCTTGCCGCCCCGAGGGAGCTATTACATTTAAAGAAGCAGCAGCTCGTTTCCATTTCTATTTCACATCACCTGCAGATTATCGGCTCTCCTGGAGTATTAACTCCTTGCCTAGGGACTGTTAGCTCAATATTAGCTACCAAATTGCCAATATGGCTGATCGAATGAGAGCTCGGTATTGAACTCGTGTAGCAAACGATTACGACTACGAATAGTTTCGTATATACCATTGACATTACACTCGAGTTGGTGAAAGCATTAATTCCGCTTCCTCAATTAATCTCTAACGAACATTGAATTACGAACGTCAGGTGAATCCTGTTACAACGATAATTTCTCTGTCGATGGAAATCCGTTTCTTACTTCTCGAGATGGAGATATTACAGAAGATACGTAATATCTGCAAATTGGATCTGTCATTGATTTATAGAGTATTCGATTTATTATTGCGATAGTGTCTTTGGTAGAATTATTGTAGAATATATATAGAGTAGAATTACCTTTATTTTAAGAAAGCATGTGAGCTATGTAGAATTTAAGAAAATGACACTACAGCAGTCTTTTCTTTCCTTGCTTCCAAATTTTTTTCAAATACAAAATTTTGTAATATTTTTAGAATTTTCTGTAACTTTAATTGTAATAAAATATGTAGGATATATAGAGTGAAGAAACAAGTGCAATACATTTTTTTACTTTTCTTGCAAATTTTTTTTCTAACACAACTTGTAAAAAAAAGTCAAGTAAAGAATAAAGTTAAGTTTCCTTTAAGTTTAAGTTTACTTGTAAATTCTTCTAAATCTGAAGTATTCAGAACATTGCAATTTTAAGAATCTCTTCACCGGAACGTTCCATTTTGTTTCGACTCAGGAAAAGAAATCCGTAGAGGTTAGGTTAACGCTAAGGAAGAATCGCGTTCCTGGCAACCAGTTTTACACGCAATTTGGTATCATGACATTTCTGATTCCGCGTTTAAATATCTTCTGAAAGTACGTCCTTACGGAACTGTAGTTACTGATAATAGTATAACCTCCATTACGTAAACGTTTCTACTCTTATTCGGATTTATTTTTACGCTCATGGTAATTGTCCGGTATAAAATACTCGTATTTTGTACATTTAATATTGTTTATGAAGGAGATAAAGTGAAAACATTTTTAATATTTACAAGGAAGATAAAACGAGAATATTTATAATATTTACAAATGCATGTCTACAAATTTTTATTAAAATTGTTTATTATTTTGTCAGAGGAGTTGATGTTCCTTTTTAAAGCAGTTATTTATATTGGTATGTATAGGAGAATTTTTCGTTTAAAAGCATACAAAAGAACATTTCAATTATAAATAATTTCGAGAGATACGACATATGATTCGTAATTTTGTAGATTGTACTATTTGAGACTGCTCATTCAAATATAAATTGTTTTAAACAGTTCTCACTGTGTAGCATTCCTCACGTAAAAACACAGTAATAATAGCAATTAATAATATCTTGAACATAATCCATCTAATGAAATTCAGTTAAATTCAATCAGAAAATTAAAAAAATTTATGTGCCATTAGAAGTGTCTTCCAGTGCAAAGAGGTTAAGTATGATTGCCTGTTGACACCAAAAATCATTGACACTTTTATCCAACATATTTATCCAACATAACATATCCTACACATTACCCATATCTTTCACTAATTCCCTAAATCGTACACATTACATCAAACACTAAAGAACACTTATATATTTAGGTGAAACTTTGGTTGCAGAAAAGCCACCAAAAAGAGGCATGATGAAGACACAGGCTACCCAAACAGAGTTGCCAGCCGTGTTCCGACGTCGCATCCCAGTGACCCTTAGCCCCAGGACGATCCACCGGGTGAAGATGGTCTCCCAGGGGGCTCAGACAAACGGGCTGTTCAATGGCAGGAAATTGACGAAAAGTTACTCGGAGGCTGGTCAACTGGGCACCCCGTTGGGCGGCGGTCAAGGCACACCGGGCAAAGAGGACACGGAACACGAACCTCTTCACAGAACGCAGAGCGAGGAACCACCCAGGTCACCCTTCCTTGTCGATACGCCACCCCCTGGGGGACCCTGCACCACCCCCGCCACCGAAGAAGCTCTGACTAATGGGGACATCTCGGAACCTCTAACGAGTATCGTAAGTTTAGAGACATTTACTTTCCAATTTATTATACAGGGTCGAATCTGACACTCCGCTGGATTGCAATGCGATCGATCGATAAGTATGCACAGGTGCGGGCGGAACGGGTTAATTTATCGTGATGAGCTCTGGGTTAATTTAGGGATGGATTTCTTTATTGACTGCATTGTAATTTGTGTGATTATTAATCTTTTCGGGTTGAAAATGTAGGAGGTTTGATAGACTCGGTTGGGAAATTAGGTATTTTAATTGTTGACGAATTTTATTAAATTCTTTTACAATATTTTGTTTAGTACTTGTAGCTCAGTAGTTGACTAGTGCAATAGTTGAAATATATTTTCAATTAGAGTGATAATATAGGTGAAAATTTAAAACGATGTGTACTTTACTGTGTGAGGACTTTGGAGCCCCTAAATTGGGGAATTATCGAGCGAATTTCTGGAGCGAACTGTAGAGCTATTCTCTGCAAACCTGTACCTGTACTCCATCTATAATTTGCTGAAATATTAAAGAATATTAACTAATGAAAAAATTAAAAAAAAATTAATCGAAAAATTACACTGCCATCAATAATTGACTTATGCAGTTATGTATCATCTACTCGTAATTCAACAAAGTGTTATTAACCTTACGCTCCCGTCACTCGCAAAAATATTTTTGTTTCGTTCAAAAAGCCGTGAAATGTAATTTTCGCGTTCAACGAATGAAGTTTCTGTCCATCAGTTTAATTATTCATCGACTAAATTATTTATTTATCGCGCGGTTTCACCGTCGAAATTATGATGGCAGTATAATTAGAATTATTAATTAAATTAATCGTTTATCCATTCGCGATCGTAGTTAATGATATTCCGCGGCCAAACGAGAGGGAAGATAATTTCTGAACGACGCTCCTCGACGGTTACCTCGGAATTTACTTAATCCGTTAAATCGTCGGGTTCCGAAAGAGATTTTGATGTACGTGAATTTGAAGTAATTCTCCAGGCGGAAAAGGAAAAGAGGATTTCGAGCGACATAGGAAAATGTGAAATATTAAAAAGTGCTCGAGATATATATCGAGGCTCGCTCACAGAGTTTCGATGATTAAAGTATCATAGGAATTGATTACGACTGATACCTTCCATTAAAATATCGCCGTTAATTAAGAATTTAAACGAACCCGTTGATTACGAGTTCTACATTTAACCGTGACATTAATCTTCTGTATATTTTGAGGTTAGGAAGGATACAAAATGGAGCAACTTTCTTTGACGTTATTGTTTCCGATACCAATTTCGTTCATTCAATTTCGTTGTATCGAATTTTACGATCGCTGCCGCAGTTAATTCCAGCTTGAATTCTATTGATCTTGTAAGCTACCACGATTCAATTAACCAATTAAATGCTCAGGACGCGTCAGCACAACGTGTCCTAGCTTCGATGAGAAACAGATGTGGCGTGCACTCGCAGTGCAGAACGAATTCCATAACATAATCACCTCCATTATTCTCGCTTTTCATGCATATTTTTATACCAACTTTGCACAAAATTCAATTCCTTCATTTTATTCGTTACTACGCTCTCTGGCCAGCGAATGTTACGTAATTACCAAAAACACGCGGAGTGAAACGAATTTCGAGAAATTACTCGCGTTATATCACAATTATGCTCATGATTCAATTTAACGAATTATCTTCTCTTTGAATTTTATAAACAGTGGTTTTATTCTTTATTAAGATTATTAAGGGGTTGAATAAAAGAATAATCTTTACATTTTTATACATACATTTTCTTTTGTCTTTCATATTTTAAATGTGTATTGTTTTTGGTTATGAATTTCAACTGAAAATGACTGTCATTTATTACAACGATTATTATTAATACAATAGTCTATATATTAATTATAAGCATTGTGCATAAATTATTTGAAATGTGTAAAATATGCGAATTAAGTTAATTTTTAGAGAGAAAATATTTTATGAAAATGTATTTATGAATATTGTCAATTGATCCGATAATGTCTATCAGTTTGATTCGTTTGTGATTGATTAGCGAGCAGATGGTTTCACTCAAAATTTGATTTTCGCCTAACAGAAAGTTTCATATGTTCTCTTACAACTTTGTCGAGGTACCAGGTGTCAAGGAAGTTGGTTGGACTAATTAGTTCCGTATCTGACAAGTTTTTGTCAAATTGGTGGCAAGAAACTCTCGATTACAAAAATTGATCAACTCTTCGAGGCACAGGGTTCTAATTACACTTTTTATTTACACTTTTTCTAATTACACTAACTCCGCATAATCATTCGATGTTAAAATAATTGATCATGAAGTATTTAAACTAAGCTTATTAAATTCAGCATAAACATCTGATAACGTAGGAACAATATTATACATTTATTTAATTATTTATTATTAACTTACTTATTTTCAAATTTATATGTTTTTATACTTTAATGCATTTCCAAAAGTCCTGTTTCGATACTCGCAAACTGAATAACGGGTATAATATTGCAAAACCACGTTTCGTTATTTTCCATCAAATCCTCCCTTTATAAGGTTCACAATGCTACGGGTAAAAAGATTGAAAGCAAGATGAACTGTGTTGAAAAGATTTACCTTCCTCGCTGACCTCTTTTGTATCTATGCTTACTATTTCATATTAATAACCTTAACCTAACCTTAAAGCTAGATTGCCTGCGTAGCGAACCGCCGCCATTTTCTGAAAAAATGAAACTGCGTTATATTTGTATTTTAACAAATTTATTATTGTAAATGACGGAATAATTGAATTATTATTGATACATTATTATTGTTAACTTCAACATTAAGAGTCCATAAAAATTCGTTATCATCTGCTTTTCCTGTAAAGAATTAATTTAACTGAATTTGTAACACAATTCACATATGACCGCCACAGTAGAAACTGACTTTCGTGGTCAGACACACTACAGTACAGATTATTAAGAACAAGGCTACTAAATGTTTCAATTTCATCTTTTAATCTATCAGTGTACTTCATTGTCTCAATATTGGGAGGCCTCAAAAGTTTCTTTCGTTCGCTTTTGCTATAAATAATTAATTTAACTGAATTTGCAACGGCGTTCACATATGACCGGCACAGTAGAAACTGACGTTCGTGATCAGACACACTACAGTACAGATTATTAAGAACAAGGCTACTTAATGTTTCAATTTCATCTTTTAATATATCCGTGTATTTCATTGTCTCAATATTGGGAGGTCTCAAAAGATCTTTCGTTCGCTTTTGCTATAAATAATTAATTTAACTGAATTTGCAACGGCGTTCACATATGACCGGCACAATAGAAACTGACATATGTTGCCAGACACTCTATAAGATATCATTAAGAACAAGTATCCTCAATCTTTCAACGTCATCTTTTAATCTATCCATGTCTATCATCTCACTGTAATGTATCGTCAGTGTATTGTCTCAATATCAAGAGCCTTCAAAAGCTCCCATCCTTTGTTTTCCTATAAATAATTTGATTGAATTGCACCACCATACGCCCATAATAGTAAACGTAAAAGTAACGAAAATATGATGTCGTAAAATAGTGGGTTCCACCCTATATCCACGGATCGAATTCCCATAGAATATTGCAACGCCCATTGAATGTTCCAGCTGAATCACATCGATTGTGTCAGTTGAAGTGGAGTCGCTTGAAAGGGCTGCTCGCGATGCTCGAATCGCCACACTTGATACCGCTTTCGACGAGAAGATATTACAGATTCCAATTTCGCTTAGGTAGCAATCGAAAATCTAGCGAATTATTCGAACGCGCGTTTTGCATCGGATCAAACGCTTCCGTCGGATTCAATTTTACGTATGAAATCTCGCCACTGTCATAGTGGGCGTATCGATTAGGTGTTCAACGAGCCGGTCTTCCGGTTCGACTCCTACGGACGGTTAATGCTTTTGCCGTACAGCGATTAACGTGACCCGTTTTTGTCGAATACCTTTAATCGTTCGCAGAAAAACTGATACCTCTATGTTTCACGTATGTGTTTACTGTTACCGTTGCCGCATTTACATATGTATGCGCGATACGTGGAAAAACTGCGAATAATTTGAATCTTTCATTTTCTGGCTAATCAAAATGTAAATAGACTCAAATATTCTTGCGGATGCGGTTGTGCAGATGTCATGGGGTGTTTACTGTGAGGTTGACAAAATTTAGTTGTTGCAATTGCTAGTATTAGTGGGTGATTTTAGTTCTTTTGGGTACTTGGGGGTTGGGGAATTTAGGGATGTGGAGATATAGGGTTTTGGAAAGGTAGAGATTTGGGGATTGAGAGATTTGGGAATATAGAAATTGGGGGAGGTAGGGTTTTGGGGATATAGGGTTGTAGGAAAATAGGGATTTGGGCATATAAGGGTTTGAGGATGTAGGGATATGGGGACGTAGCAATTTGGGAATTTAAGGATTTGGGAACGTTAGTATTTGGGAAAGTGGAGATTTGGGAATGTAGGGATATGGGTGCGTAGGGATTTGGGAGCGTAGGGATTTGGAAGCATTGGGATTTGGGCAAGTAGAGTTTTGAGGACGTAGGGATTTGGGAGCGTAGGGATTTGGGAGCGTAGGGATTTGGGAGCGTAGGGATTTGGAAGCGTAAGGATTTGGGCAAGTAGAGTTTTTGGAACGTAGGGATTCGGGGGCGTAGGGATTTGGGTAAGTAGAGTTTTGGGAGTGTAGGGATTTGGAAAATGTGGGAATTGGGGAATGTGGAAATTGGGGATGAGGAAATTGTGGAATGTGGGAATTGGGGAATGTGGAAATTGGGGAATGTGGGAATTGGGGAAGGTGGGAATTGGGGAATGTGGGAATTGGGGAATGTGGGAATTGGGGAATGTGGAAATTGGAAAATATGGAAATTGGGAAATGTGGAAAATGGGGAACGTGGGAATTGGGGAATGTGGAAATTAGGGAAGGTGGGAATTGGGGAATGTGGGGATTGGGGAAGGTGGGAATTGGGGAATGTGGGAATTGGGGAATGTGGGAATTGGGGAATGTGGGAATTGGGGAATGTGGAAATTGGAAAATATGGAAATTGGGAAATGTGGAAAATGGGGAACGTGGGAATTGGGGAATGTGGAAATTAGGGAATGTAGGGATTTGGAGACGCAAGAACTTGAAGACCTAGAAATTTGACAATTCACAAATTCCAAATTTGATGAAATCCAAAAATTCAGAATTTCAACGCCCCAGAACTGCAAAAGTTTGCAACTCAAAACTTAAAAACTACAAAAACATCAAATTGAAAATTTCCAAAATCTCCAAATTCTCTAATTCCCTTTTCGTACCACATCACAACCTCATCAACCACACATTAACTTCCACCACTACAATTTCAAAAATTACACAAAAATTAAAAACAAATTACATCGAATACAACTACAAATAATTGATACGAGGAAAGAAATTTAATTCGATGAAACGATAATGGATTATCATTGGACGTAAATTACAAGGATACGTGCAGCTCCATGCTGGTCTTAACGTCGCAGCCAACGCGTCGAATGAAATTGAACGGAATTAATTAATTTATTTCGGGGCGTGTTCTACATAGATCATTGAAACGCGTCCTCGTGGGCAGCTGATTCCACTCTATTAACAGGAAGGTCGAACAAGAATCAAATTTCGATGCTATTTATAGGAGATTGTAATGGTAGCATGATCGAGTTACTGTCTGGTAACAAAATAGACGATGGCGGAAAGCAAAAGCACGCCAGTGGAATGTAATTAAAGGACACACGTCGTTACGGATATTAACGTATTGATCGATGTTTCACGTTTCATGACATTTCGCGTTTTAACTTTGTTTAGTAAACGATCAAATCGGCTTTCCCGCTGCTTCGAATGTCCTACTACCTTCATCATCGTAGATCACTTTAATCGACCATTTACATTTTAATTACGCTTACTTTTTGCTCGCTTAAATGTTCTTTATCTTACGTTCTATTTATACCATTATTTATGTTAGTTCTTTACATTGTATTTTATATTTTTATATTTTTAGGAAAATATTATATTTTTGTGCTATAGGATACTTTATTTTATGTTTTTGTAAAATTCATTATACATGTATTTGGTTTATATACATTTTTGCATTTTATTCATTTTATAGACATTTTTTGTTATACATGTTATTTTGTTTAAATTAAAATTTTATTGATGTTATTTATATTGTTATATTGTTTATATACATTGTTTTAATTTTCATCATATGTTGTACATGATATGTTATTCATATTATTTTAAATGTTACTTTACTTCATTTTAATTAAGCACAGCAGTAAGATGTCTGAATATGTGTTACACATATTTTAAATCATATCCATGATTCGAATGTTACAAAAATTATTGTCCTAATATTATTTAAATTTTGAAATTAAATTTTTATTAATATTATATTATTTACACTATCATATCAAGTTTCTTAACTTTGTTAATAATGAACCAAAAATAAAGTAACAAAATAATTTTCTTAGCAAGAAAATAAAGTAACCAAATAATGCAATGACCAAAAAATAAAATAACAAGAGAACACTAATAGAAAACGATATGAAAATAATAAATATCTTGCATGAATAACATATAATAAAATAAATATTTGTTAAACAAATGTTGAATAAATATTTTTCTATTTTTATGCGCAGCATCAAGATCAACGAAGGTCAATCGATTTAGACGACCAAGAGATCCTCATAGACTTTAAGCCCGCACCCGTGTCGCCGGATGCTCGAGCTCTACTAAACCGGATATCCCAATCGCCACGAAGGTTTCTGCCATTACAGAAGACCTTTTCCGACGGGGAAATCCGCGTGGAAAGGCGCGAGCTGGTCGGCGAGACCGGTGAACCAAGTTATCCTCACACATGCAGAAGAAATCACCAGGACCCATGGGGCAGGACCGTCAGAGCACCCGTCCAATTCTCCTCGACGCCCGAGGACCTGTCCTTGCTCAGAGTCTCTTCGCCCCACGAGGATCATCCGGAAGAAGTGAGTGAATGCGTTATTTTATTATTTATGGTCTTTAGGCACAGATTTAGAGATCATTCGATCTATTCATTCATTCGGAGTGTGTAGAAAAGTTTGTTCTATTGAGGATACGATTTAAGATTTATTTAAATAGGTACAGAATTGTGGAGACATTTATTGGGATTTGTGATGTGAGGTTCTGGTGAGAAGTTGTAGTAATTGATGAGAAGTTGTAGATGCTATATTTTTTAATTATAAAATTCTTAAATTTTTGAAATATTTAAATTTCCAAATTTCTATGATACTAGTATGTTAAATTACCAAACTTTCAAATCTTCAAATACTCAAACTTGCAAATCCCCAAACTTCTATATCCCCAAATGCACAATTTTGCAAGTGGAAATATCTCCACATTCCTAAGTGCCCAAACTTTTAAATTTTCAAATCCTTTAATTCCCAAAATTTGTAAATTTCCTATACCCTAAATCCCCAATACCGTAAATCCCTAATACCCTAGACCCCCAATACTCCAAATCCCCAATATTCTAAATCCCCAATATCGTAAATCCTTAATACCCTAGACCCCCAATACCTTAAATCCTCAATACCCTGAATCCCCAATATCCTAAATCCTCAAATCACCAAATCCCCAAATTCTCAAATTCCCAAACCCCCAAATCGTCAAATCCCAAATCCCTACATGTCCAAATCCCCTAAATACTCAAATTCGTAAATCTCCCAATTCCCAAATCCCCAAATCCCCAAATCTCCAAATCCCAAAACCTCCAAATATCAAACCCTCCAAATCTTAAAACCTTCAAATCCCAAAATCTCCAAATCTATTAAATCCCCAAATCCCCAAATCTCCAAATCTTCAAATCCCCAAATTCCCAAATCCTTAAATCTCCAAATCCCCTAAATTCCCAACTCCCCAAATTTCTCCAAATTTCCCAACCTTCCCAAATTCCCCAAATCCGCAACATCTCACCCAAAAAATTTCCATTCGCAGAAATCAGCAAATTTTGAAACATCAAATTTTATAAAATTCAAAAATGAAGGCAGTTGAGCGAAACGCCCTCAGTTATCATCCACTTCGCCCGCATATTCCGCCAGCATCGTTCCTGTCAAACAATCCCATACAGCGTTTAGTTATTTTTCTCCTGCAAGAATGAATCGCGAATTTAATTGGAATTCGTGTCGGCGGTCATGTATCAGATACACAATTTTTCCGATACGTTTTATCCGCGTTGCGTACTGATACGTACAACGCACCGTGCAAATATAGGCCGGGCTAGATTACCGTCACAGGAGCATTTTAAATCGCTGACTCGGTGAAATCCGTAGCCATCTCTTCGTCGTTGAAATCTGGCAATCTCTGTCTATCAAACTTTTCAGACGACTCCGTCTTTTTCCGATTGATTTGTAACATTGTCGTCCCGCTATCGACTTCTCATTTGTTCGGCCATTTTTGCGGTAAGATTGATGAGGAATCGATTCTTTCATAAAATGTCTGGCATATTTAACGATTAGGTGTGTTTGTGGATTAAGTGTATTTAAGGATTAGGCATATTTATCGATGCATAATGAGGAGGGTTACTGTGATGATTGAATATGTGAAGATGGTATATTGTCTTAGTACTTAGGTTTTATGTACTTAGTATTTACATCCTTGAGTTACTATATAACAAATTTCTGTGTTCTCGAATATATTTCTGAGTCGCTATATTTCCGAAGGTTTGCATTTATATATTTCTATATTTTTTAATCTCTACACTTATGGAACCTACATTCCCAAATTCCTACATTCCCCAATTTCCACATTCCCAACTCCTACATTCACCAATTCCCACATTCACTAATTCCCACATTCACCAATTCCCACGTTCCCCAATTCCCACATTCCCCAAATTCCACATTCCCCAAATCCCACATTCCCTAATTCCCATACTCCCCAATTCTTACATTCCCCAATTCCCACATTCCCCAGTTCCCACATTCCCCAAATCTCTACATCCCCAAATCCCTAACTTCCCAAATCCCCACGTCCCCAAATTCCCACGTCCCCAAATCCCCACGTCCCTAAATCCCTACCTTCCCAAATTCCCACGCCCCCAAATCCCTACCTTCCCAAATCCCCGCGTCCCCAAATCTCCACGTCCCCAAATCACCACATTCCCAAATTCCCACGTCCCCAAATCCCTACGTCCCCAAATCCCCACGTCTCCGAATACCCACGTCCCCGAATCCTCACGTCCCCAAATCCCAACCTTGCCAAATCCCTCCATCCCCAAATTCCTCCACCCCCGAATTCCCATATCCCAAAATTCTCACATGCCCAAATCGCTACATCCCCAAATCGCCATATCCCCAAATTCCCACATTCCCGAATACCTACCCTTCCAAATCCCTGCCTCCCCAAATCCCTTCATTCCCAAATTCCATATTCCAAAATTCTCACACACCCAAATCGCTACAGCCCCAAATCGCTGTATTCCCAAATTCCAACATCTCCAAATCGGTACAACCCAAGTAGCTACGGCACAATTGGTCAGAATAGAAAAATGGACGCCACTCACACGTATTTTCGGCGGTAGATTGGCCCTCGCGATCACGCACACCAATTAGGCGAAAAACAATGACAGTCTTGAAACGTCTCTCAAGTGAGATGCTACTTGCGTTCAGCAGTTGTCATTATTATTCTTATTTGTATGTCACTACTAGTGTTCATAAAGCTTCTTTTACTTTGTACCCCGCGCCAACTCATGGGTTGACATCTGTACTTCGCTGTGATGAAGATATTACATGAATTGAACGAATGAAATTTACGAAACCTACCATATTGGCAATCCAGACTTTCGGCTACGCTTTTGGTAAAATTTCGAAGTGGATCAAGGATAAAAGGAAATTTCGCGAAGCGATTCCAGTGGCGAGTTAAAGCTGGATATACGATAATTATCAGAATCATGGAAGCGACATATTTCTAGAGTTTAAGCAATTAACGCGAAGAAAAGTTTGGAAGGTGCTTAAATTCAGGTTGCATTGCGCTCGATTTTAATGTAAAGTTACGTCGGATTTCAGAGGCAACGGTTGGGGAAAAATTCGAGCGACTAGATTCAGATTTAATCCAACCTTAAGCATCAAAGTTTCGCTCATTATGAATTCAAACATCCCCTTCTTTCGAGCACTAGACGTTGATCTTTCCTTTTTTCTTCTCTTTCGAGTAAAACGTAAACATCTTGCCCTTATCTGTTCTCTGTGTAATTTAATACACCTTTAATTTCATCACTTTTCTTTTTAATAATCCTTGCTTTTGCAAAAATTTATGGTAAATTTAATACTACACATTCTTTTTACAAAATTAATTACACTCTTGAGACGTGGGTGCAGAAGACGTCAAAAATTAAAATAAAATTTTTCTTTTAATTTGAGAATTTAGAAATTTGCGAAAATCGATGGCAACTATGCCTGTGTTATTTTGCTTCACTTTTTCTTTAAAAAGTAATATTTTATAAACAAGTACAAAGTTCAGTGATTTCAAATTATTTCGTGGATATAAATCTCCGTTGTGCCTTTATAGAGAATATTCTTTTTCTATATCTCGCGAGAAGATTGTAAAACTAATTGAAAGTTCCCGAGGAGCAGGCTGCTGTGTACAAGGTGCTTGAATTTTAATCGGCCGTGCTTGAGGAACGAATTCTCTGATGAAGAGTTATTTTAACTGAAGAAGACAGCAACCTTTCATAATCGTTGAAGGAAGTAGATATTACTTTCTTCAGCCCGTATAACCCTGCACCGTAAACCATTAACTTTGCAGCCTCCCCTTAATGAGTTTCTGAACTTTACTGTTTAGAAAATTTAAGAGTAATCCAATTTCGGTAGCGAGTTCTTGTAAAAAATATTGATCCTGTTCCCTGGGGGCAAACGTTTTGCACGTCGTTGCAAGTAAAATAGAAAACCTTTATTTTACTGACTTTCATTGTTTTTTTGGTTGTTTCTATTTTTTTTGTGCAGAAGGCACTTTTTGTTTATTGTACGAAAACTATTTTTATTTTTTTTTTGGTGATGTTTGGTATAGTAATGTTTCTATTTTTTGGTATTTTGGTATGATTTAATGTGATTTAATGTGATGCAGATTAGGGATAATTCAGTGTAGTAGAAATTCAATGCAATTTGATATAAATACAAATTTAGTATACTTCGATGTAGTGCAAATTCAATAGAATTCAATGTAATGAAAGTTTAATATAATTCAATATTATAGAAATTCAATGCAATTTGATATAAATATAAATTCAGTATAATTCGATGTAGTGGAAATTCAATAGAATTCAATGTAAGAAAAATTTAATATAATTTAACATTATAGAAATTCAATACAATTCAATATAACACAAATTTAGTATAATTCGATGCAGTAGAAATTCAATAGAATTCAATGTAATGAAAATTTAATAAAATTCAATTTAATAGATTTTCAATACAATTCAGTATAACACAAATTCGGTACAATTCAATGTAGTCGAAATACAATACAATTCAGTGTAATATAAATTTAATATAATTCAATATAGTCAAAATTCAATATAATTCAATATAATCATAATATAATATAATTCAACCTAACACAAATTCAATATAATTCAACATAATACAAATTCAATATAATTCAACGTAACACAAATTCAATATAATTCGACATAATATAAATTTAATATAATTCAACCTAACACAAATTCAATATAATTCAACATAATACAAATTCAATATAATTCAACATAATACAAATTCAATATAATTCAACGTAACAAAAATTCAATATAATTCAACATAACACAAGTTCAATATAGTACAACATATTACAAGTTCAATATAAGTCAGTATAATAAAACTTAATTATAATAAAAAAAAAAATAAAAAATCATCATAATTCAACATGACACAAATTAAATCTAACATACTATAATACATCTTCAACATGATCCAAACATACAATATAATCATTACTAACAATGATAATATTTTAACAATTTCCTGTAATCATCTTGACTTCCATTTTTTTTACCAAGTTTTATAATATGTTGAATAAATAACAACAACAAGAATATCATTTATTTCTTGCAACTACAATTTCAAACCAAATAACATTTTCCATATTTTCAAATGACAGGATGAAAAGTAAAGGACGAAAGAATGATACAAGAGAGCTATAACCTATTTTATTTATAAAAAACAACAATTGCCCAGATGTGTATCGATCCTAGAGTTTCATATTCTCGTATTCCGGAGCTCAAGAATAAGTCATTGGAACTTTGAAAGCAACATCGTAGCGTAGGAAATATTTCTCGGAGAGGTTACATCGAGTTCTTCGGCTGCTCCCTAAGCGTCTTATAGCAAGATTTCAACCAGAAATTGATAACCTGTACACGGTTTTTTAGCTCCGCGAAACTTGAAAAGAAATAAGTATTTGAAAGAAGCCATGAGTGTAAGCCTGTTTGTGGTATTAACTTGAAATTTGTTTTGACAGAATTGTTATTGGAAAGGTCGATTTAAAAACTTCCTAAGGTATCAAAAAACACTTACCATTCTTATGAAACGAATTTATTAGTTATGATTTTAAGAAAAGTTGAGAAATATTAGAAAATTAGTTAAAAATTAATTTATTAGTTTTTTACAAATTGCAACTACCTTTCTGATTTAGTAAATTAAATTCTTTATTTGAATTTGGGTGCTTCATATAGTTAAATAATTTACTAGTTTTCATATATTTATTTTAAACATGCTATGTACTTATAAATGTTCATTATTTATTTCTTTTACCAAAACAGATTCTGAGTTATGAAAAAAATCCATCGAGTTTTCATAAAACGGGTCGTAAATCCTTTTCCCCATAAAATCGAAAACGCGGGAACACGTGAATAAATTCCGTAGAAAGTATCGACGCGAGAGTGACACGTCGATATTATTCCTCGATATCATTACAGGAGTTTCACGAGAATCTCATCCGGCGAGGACTGTTTCGCAAGAGGAGCGTATCACTGGAGGATGGCGTGCAAGGTTTAGTGTCCGATGACTTTATGTTACCGAGATCGCTTCCAACATCACCCACATCACCGACGTCAGTATCAGGTATGAAATATGATGCGTATTCGATAACCTCGGCGACGTGTTATTCTCGCAACATTTGAAATTTCAACGACGTACGCGAAACGACGCGTTCCTTCTATTTCATACGTTGACTGACAGCTGGCGATCTGTATGGGGTATATTGTAAATATTTCGATATTATGCAAGCACAAAATTGTTTGACGTACACGGTAGAGATGGCACTTCACCCTTTTAGGAGAATTGTTTGCTGTAAAGTAAAAAAATTCCCTTTGGTTTAGTTTAGATAAATACCTTCACTGATCTTCTTTAATGTAGATGCAAAAATTAAATTCCTTTATTAAAAAAAGAAAATGTTTCTGTACTTTCAGTCTATAGTTTAATTCACAAAAAAGAAATTTAAATTTGATTCCTTTTAATAGAGACAAATTAGTTCGCACCCCTTTTTGAAGACAAAAAATTCAATCTTTCAATGCAGACAGAAAATTAAATTCTTCTATTAGAAGACAAAATTGAATGATACTAGTGTAATTCAGAAGAAGGAAATTTAAAGTTGATTCCTTTTAGTAGAGACAAATTAGTTTGCACCCCTTTTTGAAAACAAAAAATTCATTCTTTCAATGCAGACAGAAAATTAAATTCTTCTACTAGAAGACAAAAATTGAATGCTATTATTGTAATTCAAAAGAGAGAAATTTGAATTTGATTTCTTTCAGTAGAGACAAATGAGTTTGCACTCCTTTTTGAAGACAAAAAATTCAATCTTTCAATGCAGACAGAAAATTAAATTCTTCTATTAGAAGACAAAAATTGAATGCTACTAGTGTAATTCAGAAGAGGGAAATTTGAATTTGATTCCTTCTAGTAGAGACAAATTAGTTTGCATCCCTTTTTGAAGACAAAAAATTCATTCTTTCAATGCAGACAGAAAATTAAATTCTTCTACTAGAAGACAAAAACTGAATGCTACTATTGTAATTCAAAAGAGAGAAATTGGAATTTGATTTCTTTCAGTAGAGACAAATGAGTTTGCACCCCTTTTTGAAAACAAAAAATTCGTTCTTTCAATGCAGGAAGTAAATTACATTCCTCTACTAGAAGATAAAAATTGAATGCTACTAGTTTAATTGAGAAGGGAGAAATTTAAATTTGATTTCTTTTAATAGAAACAAATGAGTTTGCACCCCTTTTGAGACAAAATTAAATTTCATGAGTAAAAAAGAAAAATTAAATTCGTCCATTAGAGAACAATCAAATGCTACTACTTTCATTTAAAAGAAATTTTAATTTGACTCTAAAAAACACATATACCAATTGTGTACAACTTTACACCCCTTCTTAGAGAAAAAAATTACCTCAATAGAGAAAAAAATTACAATAGAGAAAAAATTTTGAATTCATCCATAAAAAATAAAATTTGAATGTTACTCACTTCACCTAGAAAAATGAATTTGAATATTATTTTCCCTATAAGAGAAAACTAGTTTCATCCCCATTTTAAAGAAAAGAACTGATGCAAAAATAAGAATTGAGTTTTGCACCTTGGAAAAGAAATAAATGATTTTAACCCCTTCATAGAAGGAAAAAACTTGAGCCAAGACAGAAATTGCATTTTGTCTCTCCTAGAAGAAGAAAAATGAATTTTACTCTTTTCTGTAGGAAAAACACTTGAAACACCGCTTAGAAGACAGAAGTTGCATTTTATTTCCTTTAGGAGAAACTAATAGATCTTTCCTTAGAAGTATAGACCTTTCCTTCTCTGAAAGAACAGATTTTGTTCTTTCCTTACAGGAAGAAAATTTGAAACCTTCCTTTAGAAAACAAAAATTGCATTGTATCTCTTCTGGAAGAATGTGAACGCATTTCACTCTTTTCCAAGAAAAGAAAGGGATTGAATCCTTGCTCAGAAAGGAAAGATACTAATTTTAACCCTATAGAAGAATAAAATAGATGTCCCTCGTATAGCAAAAGAATTTACCCCTTAGAGCGTAAAATAATCAAATTGCAATTGTGTTAAATAATATTCTATATGTAGATGAAGAATGCGAGAAGCTAATTATAGTAGTGTGATGGAATTGCTATAGTAAAAATTCTACCCTCTTAACCTTAAGGAGGAAGAGATTGAATCTTTCTCCCTTAAGGAAAATTATTAATTTTAACCCCCTGAAGGAATAAAATAGATGTCGCTCCTCTTACAGTATAAGAATTTGCCCAACCACCCCTAGAGTGCAAAACAATCAACTTGCAATTGTATTAAATTACATTCTGTATGAAGAATTCAAAATGCGATTAAATTAGAGTGATGAAGTTTGCTATAATCAAAATTCTACCCCCTTTTCGAGTCTAGAAGAAAAAAAGAAACTTTAACCTAGAAGAGGAAAAGAATTAAATCCTTCCTCTGGAAGGAGAATTACTAATTTTAATTCCAAAGAAGAATAAAATAGACAATGTCCCCTATAATAAAAAATTACCTCATCACCTACAGTAAAATAATTAAATTGCAATTGTGTTAAAAATTCCACACGTAGATAAAAATCCAAACTAACTAAACGCACTGATTAAAGTAGATTTGCCACAATAAAAATTGTACCCCTTAACCCCGTAACCTGGCCCATCCCCAGTACCGACAACTTGATTTCTATTCTCCATAAAAGTTGTGATCAATGTTTCAGCACCAAGGAGGATTTTACAAAGTCCCAAAGATTATGCGTCACCGACTCGTCCACTGCGACCAGTATGTCCGTTACTTTTCAGTCCTGGTACCGGCATTTCCGGTCTGATCACGTCTCCGTTCGCTTCGAGCGATTCGTTAACGAACGACGTCACGAGGGACCACAGCGATGGAATTTGGAACGAGTCGCAGGCGACGGTTCTTCAGGCCGACTCGTTGGCCTTACTGACACCGTCCTCGAGGAGAAGGCATCTCCTGCTTCTCCAGCACCAACAGCGATCCTCGATGGACACCGAGGCGCTGGACGTCGAAGAGACCGTGGAATCGCGTCCTTCCAGTCCGAGGATACGCCTCGAGCCAGCGACGCCTGTTCAACCCCTAACACCAAGGTACTTTATGAATTTTTCATCGATTCGCACAATGCCTGGCCCATTAGCTCTGTTGGGTTAACATCTCGTTAAGGTTGACCTTTCTCAAATCTTTTTAATGTGTACCTTTTATTTCGAGGTTACTCTTCCGTACAGAATTACTGTCAAATCTTGACTAGACTTATCTGGTCTACAACTGTTAGATGAATGCTAGCTAGAAATTTTGTGACGAAATAATTGTTGGGTGGTTTTAATATTTTTTAAATACATCTTGGTTTCTATAATGTTACTTTACACTTTTGGAGCTGCAATGTTGACGAAATGACCTTGTTTAAAATTGATTACATTCATCTTTTCATACTGAATTATTTTTGTAAATGTACTTCGATTGAAGTTGAACCTTCAACATCACAGCTTTGAAATCACCTTCAAATGACTCTGAAGTAATCTTAAAACTGCAGTAACCTCTGACTTTGATACAATCTTAAAGTGACAATAAAATGATTTTGAAATAACCCTGAAATCAACTTGGAGCTTGAAATGACTTTGAAATAACCCTGCAACGATCTTGAAATGACTTTGATGTAATCTTGAAATAATCTTGAAGTGACTTAGAAATGACTCTGAAACGATCTTGAAACGTCTTTGATATATCTTTGAAATGACCCTAAAATCTCTTTGGAATAGCTCCGACTTCCTGAAGCGATCTTAAAATGTCTTTGCTATATCTTTGATCTTGAAATCCAGGTCACCCAAACAGAAAATTAAGGACTCCACATGCAAAGATTTAACTGCATTTGTACGATAAATGTACTATCATAAACTGTCACACTCGTATCATAACAGTTCAGACATTTTATGTGTCACCCGTTCGTGATTCGTTAAAATCGCTCATCCATCGAGTGTCCTGTGCTAGAGACATCGCGTGTACATTTACGAGCAATTTTTAAAGGCAATTCCTTCTCAGCGTCGAATCGTCGATAACGCCGAGCAACGGTAGACCGAGGGGCGGATTCCGTCGTCCGAGTCCTGGTCCGCCGTTGTCGCAGCCGCAATCGCAATCGTCGAGCGAGTTCGGTTTGAGCCTCGCCAGGACAGATTCGGGAGGTCGAACGAACACGGATCTGTCCGAGACCTCGACCACCGAGGACTACGTCACTGCCAACACCTCCACCGAGACTGGGACCACTACAGGCACCTCCGCAACGACCAGTTCCTGGTCGAGGCCCCCGCAGACGTCCAGCGCCGCGGCGTCCGCCTCGGCGACAGCCACTGCCGCGGAGGGAAGCTCCTTCGAGAGCGCGAGTTCGATTTACAGTCTTGCTCGTAGCGAGGTAAGTCATTTTTGGAAGGTAGTCGATTTCGGAAATAATTTTACTGAGAATTTTTGTGGGGGACTTATTTAGGTTAGTAGGCAAGAGGTTTAGTGAATTTTACGCGTTTTTCCATATGGCAGAGGGATCGGTCAGAAATTAGGGATAGTTTTTTATAGGTTTGGGAATTTGGGAATCTGATTTGGGGAATTTAGTAATTTGGGAAGTGGGAGATTTGGGGAATTTAGTAATTTGGGAAGTGGGGGATTTGGAAATTTAGTAATTTGGGAAGTGGGGGATTTGGAAATTTAGTAATTTGGAAAGTGGGAGATTCGGGGAATTTCGTAATTTGGGAAGTGGGGGATTTGGAAATTTAGTAATTTGGAAAGTGGGAGATTCGGGGAATTTAGTAATTTGGGAAGTGGGAGATTTGGAAATTTAGTAATTTGGGAAGTGGGGGATTTGGGGAATGTGGTACTTTGGGAAGTGGGATATTTGGGGAATTCGAAAATTCGGTCATTTGAGAGTTTGGAGAATTTGACTATTAGGACATTTGAGAATTGGTAAATGTGAGAATTTGGGGAATTTGAGAATTGGAGAGTTTGAGAGTTTGGGGAATTTGGGAATTGGGCCATTTGAGAATTGGGAAATTTGGCTATTAGGACATTTGAGAATTTGGGGAATTTGAGAATTGGGAAATTTGGCTATTAGGACATTTGAGAATTGGTAAATTTGAGAATTTGGGAAATTTGAGAATTGGAGAGTTTGAGAATTTGGGAAGTGGGAGATTTGGGAATTTTGTATTTATTAAACTGGAAAATGGGAACTGACACTTACTATGCCAGTAAGCCATGCTAGTAACACGTCAGTAGATAGTCAATTTTACTCAAATTCAATAGTCGAATTTTCACGTTTCTTACTTTGCCTCTACCACATTTATCATTACAAAAAAAGATACAAAAAGGAAAAGAACAATTTTCTCTTTCTAACGACACTACAAGACATCTTATACTGATTATTTTTTATTACCGTCAATCAATTTTAGTATTACACCTACAACTTAGTCTTACATTTTGCAAAAATCTATATTTTCCTTAATTAATTTTCCTAAAATTAAATTTGCAAGACAGAATGCACTTTTCACCAGCAGTGAATGGATTAATAAAATATTGCGTACATGTAATTTGTTTTTAAGGCTGCGCAGGTTTTTGAGGTTATGTAGGTTGTGATGAGGGATGAACATTAGATAGTTCCGGTAATCTATCGGAATGTGTGATACATTGCAATCAAAATGAAGTAGATATGTCACCTCTGAATGCATACTATATGTCATTTTAACACGTTCGTGTACAGTTGAGTATACATACACGGATATGTACATTAGTAATAGCTACTGGAATGTGTATTGGTATAAGTAGGTACGGAACGTAGTGGGACTGTCATTATAGAAAGCGGATTATGTTGTATCACCTGATGGATGGAGAATATTGATAGCTTTCGTATTAGGAATTTTGAAATTTGGAATTGTGAATTTCATAGTTTATGGGGTTAGGTTTTCTAGTTATTAAAACTTTACGCATGTAAATGATTGGATTTGTGAATTTTTGAAGTTTTAAATTTTTTAATTGTCGAATCTCTAAATTCCCAAATCTACAAATTTCTCATTCGCTAAATTTAAATTCTCGAATTTCCAAATATTCAAATTCTCAAATCTTCAATTCCCTAATTCCCCAATTTCTCAATTCTCCAAGTTCTCAATTTTTCAATTCCATAATTCCCCAATTCCTTAATTTTCCAAATTCTCAATTTTTCAATTCCTTAATTTTCCAAATTCTCAATTTTTCAATTCGCCAATTCCCCAATTTCTCAATTCTCCAAATTCTCAATATTTCAGTTCTCTAATTTCCTAATTTCTCAATTCTCCAAATTCTCAATTTTTCAATTCCCTAATTCCCCAATTTCTCAATTCTCCAAATTCTCAATTTTTTAATTCCGTAATTCCCCAATTTCTCAATTCTCCAAATTCTCAATTTTTCAATTCCGTAATTCCCGAATTTCTCAGTTCACCAAATTCTCAATTGTTCAATTCCCTAATTCCCCAATTTCTCAATTCTTCAAATTCTCAATTCTCCAAATTCTCAATTTCCCAAATCTCTCACTTCCCAAATTACTAAACTTCCAAATCTTCAGATCCCCAAATCTCCAAATCTTCAAAAACCATTTGATCAAACTTCCAAAAATACAACTCAACAATTAAACTAATAAAACAGAAATATTAAAATCTACTTTTCACACACTACCAACAACACTCAATAAAACTACAATAATACTTGAATAAAATTAAAAGCAGAATAATAAAAATGGTGACCACATCGATCACAAAAACCCCGTAAATAAGTGGTAGGTTAGCCCGTAAAAAACCCGAACATAAACGGAACAAATGGGATGAAAAGATTGACTTTTGCCAAAGAATTTGTTTGCAAAAAATCAAACACGCTAGGACAACGTAGCGTTTGCTGATGAAAGCAAATTCAATCTTTCTGGATCGAGCGGCCAGCGAATGGTATAGCGTAAAGCAAATAAAGAATCCCAGATCTAAAATTGGAAATCGATAGTAAAACGCGATGGTGGAAGTACAATGGTCCGGGGTTGCGTTTCGACCTCAGGTGTAGGTGAACCGTGTAGTTTTCATCGATGATATTTTATACAAATACAGACGATATGATATTTTGAAACAAAGGTTAGGTAAAATAGTGTCATCGATGTGAATACACGTGATGAGTTTTAGGTTATGTGATTCGATCAGAATTGTTATTAGTAGAATTTGGTTTTATTAGGAGTATATGTGTGGACAAGGTTTAAATGATAAATTAAAACAAGTTTTATTATGAATTTAAATATGTAACTTTATGGAAGTGTACAGTTTATGACTTTAGAGTTGCACGAATATAGTTAGGTTTATAACTTGAATTTGTACAGATACATGTTCATAACCTCAAAATTATACGAATATAGTTATGGTCACGAGATTATCATTACACAAATATTGTTATGTTTATAACTGTACAATTTTACAAATTTATTTATGTTTGTAACTCTACAGGTATACAAATATGGTTACGTTTATAACCTAAAAATTATATAAATATAATTATGGTTACAACATTGCAATTGCATTTTGGTTTTGTTTATTACTGTACAACTTTACAAATTTATTTATGTCTGCAACTTTACAATTATACACACATAGTTACATTTATAATTTGACAAAATTAACTACAAATTGAAAACTAATTAAATTACTCATAAAACAATTTGAACAACTTGAATTATTAAAACAATTAGTTCTGTAGTTCGTTTTGCAGTTTTATAAGTTTGTTTCAGTTAAAAGTTTGACAATATTAACTACAAATTGAAAACTAATTAAATTACTCATAAAACAGTTTAAATGAAAAATGAAACAATTTGAACAACTTGAATTATTAAAACAATTAATTCTGCAGTTTGTCTTGTACTTTTATAAGTTAGTTTCAGGTAAAAATAATTTAACTAAATTCACTAAAAATGAGAGTCGTTTCTGAAAATAAAGATGAGTTTTTTAATAAAATACGTGTACTAATCCCAGACTTAAGATGGCTACGAAATAACATGGTGGCATGGGTACAGAGTAAGAAAGACATATTGTACAGTATTGATATTCATACAGAGTATACAATCTGCGATGTTTGTATCGTACACTTCTACAAATATAGACGATCCTTTGAATAGCAGATATATCTGTACAAATAAGAAACTCGTAGGAATCGGGACGGCTGGTGAAATTCTGCTCGATTCAGAAGCATAATGTTGACTTGATGCCGCTCTATTTACCATGTTTCGTCTCATATACACAAAAATATGAGTATCTGAAGGAATTGTAAATAAGAAGTAAATTGTGACTGGTAAATTACTGATCCACTGAAAATTACAGGTCCACTATGACGTTACTGAATTTTCCTTATTTCAATTCTGCTTTGATTATTATTTGAAAGAAATATTTAACTGTTTGGAAGGTTTGAACATAGTCATACTTAAAAATATCTACACATATTACACATGAAAAAAATATTTACATACCTATTTTTAAAAATAAGTGACACATACATGTATTACATTTGGAAGTAAACACTAAAGACACATATTTACATATTTTATACTTACAAGTGAAAATAAATGCACAACTCAATCTTCAACAAATACTGCAACAATTTAGTATTCAATTTTGCACGAATGTTAAAAACTGTTGCTTAAATAAAAATCACCTCATAAATTTTTTAGAAATATTCTTAAAACAAATTTGTCAGATTGCAATATTCAAGAAAAAAATGTGTTGTCATATGAATTTCAGAGATGTTCGTAATAATATTTTTGTAACCTGGTATTTATAGAAGAGCACACGCTCTATTGATTCTGGTAACCTTGAATTATACTGTCAAGGTCAACGTTCTGAGTCACGTTGTTTACTTATGTAATCGCATTTTGATCTTGGTTTCTAGTATATGCTTGAAAAATTAGAATTAAATTGAAAAATTTCATTAAATGCATAATGATATACATTGCATATTATTGGTACTGTAAATGTTTAGTGACATCGGTATCTTGGAAATATTTCTGTAATATACTTATTAGAGTTCACTATAAAATTCACTGCGGTTAGGTTACTACAGTTAGTTACAGGTAACTACAGTTTACTACAAAAATCAATTTTATGAAAAACTAACAACTTAATAGAAGTTCAAACAATAAGTATCAACAATAAGTAAATGTATCGTCTTAAAGAACGAAAAGACGTTTACATGATCCGTGGAGCATTAAGGTATTCAAGATGAAATGAAGGTTACGTATCCCGTCAGGCTATCGTTGAGGAGCCATGCAGTCCACCACCGATACTGGAGGAAACGGAAATTCCATTTGGAATGGAAGCACCCCCGTCACCGGCCAGATCTAGCAGCAGCAGCAGTTCGGGCAGCTACGATCTGAAAGATGCAATGATAGATCCAGGTCAGGAACTCGAGCAGCAGACTGCACCTCCGAGCGGACACACCTCAGAAACGGAGCTGGATCGTGACGTAAGGAGATAATTATACTAATTCCTACCAATTCACCGATCGAGTTTTCTTTCCCTGAAAAATTTGCATTCTATTCAGAAAACTTTTGCGTGATCCTCTCACGAATTGCGAGAAAAATATCCGTTACGTGAAATTCTCTTTATTCGTTCCTTACTTTTGTTCACTTGATTATAGAATCCCTTTTCTTAAGCCCTTAATATCTATCCTGAACTCCTTGCATGATTTATACCTTGTAATTCTAAAATGACATACTAACCTCAAAATGAAATTAAACCGGATTTCAACTATCAACCCGGCACTATGATTTGTCAGGTCAGAATCACAGCAATATTAAAATAGACGAAGATAGTTGAAATGTTATGTCAATTTGGTATCGATCGACTATGCAAATAATTCAACTCCAAATCGAAGCGTATTAATTCGAGTAAAATTGATCACGAAGTACGAGTGCGTCACGAGACTCGTCAAAATAGTGCAGGGGTTAAAGGTGTATGATTCTTTTCTTCTGAGAGCAAATTTGAATTTCTGAGCCCCAATTTGAAATTGTTACGAGACCTCATTCGCTCGCTATGATCAATGATATAGAAACATTTGATTTAAAGGTGTATTCTTTTCTGAGAGCAAATTTCAATTTCTGAGCTCGAATCTGAAATTGTTACGAGACTTCAGTTCCTATGATCAGTGACATAGAAACATTTGATTCAACCTCGTGCACTATGATTTGTCAGGTGCGCCAGAACTAGTCAGCAATATTAAAACAAACATAGAAAGTTGAAATGTTATGTCAATTTTGTATCAATCTATGCAAATAATTGGACAACTGCAAAAGCGTATTAATTCCAACACAAAAGCGTGAACAAGTAAAATTGTTCACAAAGCCAAATTTGTCAAAATGGCGCAAAAGATCAATATTCCAAACCTAATTAATCTTAAAACTGCAAAATTTGAAGAATTGAAACATTTCGTCCTCTTTCAAAAATTAATTTAGCTCGAACATTTATCACGTGGAAATGATTGATTTCTGTCGTGCATTCAATTTTATTAATCGTTTATTGATACAGATAATATCAAAGAGCGAATAGCTATACAGAGACGTATAATCTTCTGCAACATTCATACAATTTGAAAGCCAGTGAAAATGCATTTCCTGGAAATCGTAATCCGTCACTCTCGCCTTGATAATCGATATTTCCAAATTATGTGCTTTTCAGACTTGTTTTAACTTCAGCATCAATTTTAACGCCGTATCTGGTCAAAATTCCGACCACCGGAAAGTGTACCGCATTGTTACGGAGAAGATGGCGCATCTTTTCGGTACTCGCGCTTAACAAGACGAATATTTACAATGGCGGAATTCATCGTTTCGAAGCGCGATCCGTTGACAAAAACTTGCGGATAATGGTTGGGGACTTTTGTGTTCTCGAAAGACGGCTACTCTGTTCGTGATATTCGAACGATTGTCGACCTTCCTTAAGGCGCTTATGCGACTTCGAAAGTCTCGTTCTTGAACAACATCTCTACACTTTGTTGTGGCGTGGTGCAGAATGTAAGGAAATAGGAAGGAGATTATTACTAGGATACTTGGAATCAGGAGTTTATTGGTTGTAAGCACAAGTTGAGAGTAAAGTCTGATTAGTGTGGGTTGATTTTTGGGGATTTTTGTGGGTTAGAAAATTTTGAGGTTGGTTATAGAGATTTGGGGATTTAGGAATTTGTAGATGTTGGGATTAGGGGATTTGGGGAAATCAAGATTGAGAGATGGGAAGATAGAAACAAAATTCCAAGATTCCCAAATCCCAAGATTCCCAAATCCCAACATTCCCAAATCCCAAGATTCCCAAATCCCAAGACTCCCAAATCCCAAGATTCCCAAATCCCAAGATTCCCAAATCCCAAGATTCCCAAATTCCAAGATTCCTAAATTCCAAGATTCCCAAATCCCAAGATTCCCAAATCCCAAGATTCCCAAATCCCAAGATTCCCAAATCCCAAGATTCCCAAATCCCAAGATTCCCAAATCCCAAGATTCCCAAATCCCAAGATTCCCAAATCCCAAGATTCCCAAATCCCAAGATTCCCAAATCCCAAGATTCCCAAATCCCAAGATTCCCAAATCCCAAGATTCCCAAATCCCAAGATTCCCAAATCCCAAGATTCCCAAATCCCAAGATTCCCAAATCCCAAGATTCCCAAATCTCAAATCTCCCAAATCCCAAATCTCCCAAATCCCAAATCTCCCAAATCCCAAATCTCCCAAATCCCAAATCTCCCAAATCCCAAATCTCCCAAATCCCAAATCTCCCAAATCCCAAATCTCCCAAATCCCAAATCTCCCAAATCCCAAATCTCCCAAATCCCAAATCTCCCAAATCCCAAATCTCCCAAATCCCAAATCTCCCAAATCCCAAATCTCCCAAATCCCAAATCTCCCAAATCCCAAATCTCCCAAATCCCAAATCTCCCAAATCCCAAATCTCCCAAATCCCAAATCTCCCAAATCCCAAATCTCCCAAATCCCAAATCTCCCAAATCCCAAATCTCCCAAATCCCAAATCTCCCAAATCCCAAATCTCCCAAATCCCAAATCTCCCAAATCCCAAATCTCCCAAATCCCAAATCTCCCAAATCCCAAATCTCCCAAATCCCAAATCTCCCAAATCCCAAATCTCCCAAATCCCAAATCTCCCAAATCCCAAATCTCCCAAATCCCAAATCTCCAAACCTGTCCAATATTCCTAAAATCATCTTTCTATCCCACATTTATTTTCTTCCTATACTTCCAGGAAGGTCACCGTTCCTCTTCAGGAGGCTACGCCGAGTCTCCTCCAGACCCTCGCACCTGGAGCGAGGAGGAGCGTCGCAGACGTCGGAAGACCTTCACCCTGGACTTCCTAGGAAGCACACAGGACATCGATCGCAGTCCAGAACCATACGGTGACAGTGCCGAGGTCAGTCCAACAGCGAGTCATCGGCATAGACCTAGAGGAAAATCCACGAGCGCCAGAAGTCCTCACAAGAACAACAGGAAAAGGGAAACCGTTCAACAAACAGTGCAAGTGCAGCAGCAACAGCAGCAAATCACCAGGAGTCCTCAGAAAGAGGATTGGCGTGTGGATCAGGCCGAAGACACCGGTCACATTCCAACGTCGGATGATTCTAGTTGTAGTCATCATTACCACTTGCATCATCATCATCATCATCATATGCATCGTGAAGGTGCCGATGGACGACATAGGAGGACCAGAGACAGTCCACGGAGGAAGACTACTGGTTATGTTTCTGCTAGGAGAAGAAGCAATGAGGTGAGTGTGTGAAGGAAGTGCCGAGGTGTGTTTGTAACAAAAGAAAATTGCAGAAATTTTTTGTTTGATGTTTTTTATATTTGAGGATTAGTTGGTTTATAAATAAGAATCTATCGGTGTAGGTTTGGTGCATTAACGTTGATTTGATGTATTTAATTTATCTGAAAGAGGGAGATGTTTAAAAATATGTCGACGTAAGTTCAGACTGTGAAGTTGTAGCGAGTGGGTTGGCAAGAGCGCCTCAAGCGTAAGCAACTACATTCAGGTGTTTTAAATTCTCCAATTTCAACATGGGGATTTTATATTCCCTAATTCCAACATTTTCCATTTCCTACATTGTCCAGTTCCCACATTGTTCAATTCCCACATTGTCCAGTTCCCACATAGTCCAATTACCACATTGTCCGCTTCCCACATTGTCCGCTTCCCACATTGTCCGATTCCCACATTGTCCGATTCCCACATTGTCCGATTCCCACATTGTCCAGTTCCCACATTCCCCAATTCCCACATTGTCCTATACCTCATTTCCTAATTTTCTCGTTCCTCAAGTCACATATCCCCCAATTCCCACATTTCTGAATTCCTCATTTACCAAATCCATTATTTTCCAAATCCCTAAACCCTCAATATCGCCACTCCCCAATCCTTCCATCCCCAAATTCCCATTTTCCTACTTCTTTAATTCTCCCATTTAAATCTTTCCCAATTTCCTAATTCCCTCATCCCAAAACATTAATATCTCCCAACTCCTACTTCTCAGAATCCCAATTTCAAATACTCCCCAACTCCCAAATCCACGAAATTAATAATTCCCACTTCCTCATTTTCCAAATCCCCAAACCCCAAACCTAATTTCCCTATCTTCTCACCCCGATCGTATAACTCCCCTCACTCTAAGCACTCCCTTCTAACATAACCGTCACTTCGCCTCCGTTTAAATTTCGCGGGCAAAGTACATGTCCAAAGCAGTCGCCACTTTACTGCAACTTCAGACTCGGAACTTATGTGGCGAAGCCCGTATGCTTTCATGTACAGCTTGTAAAGAAAGGCACTAAGCCGTATCATCGTTTATTTACGCTTCTCGTGGAAGAATAGGATCGTTAAGTTTTCCCTAGATTCCCGAGCTAAAAGCAAATGGCGGTCCCACCCTCTGCCCGTGGCATTAGCGACGAGATGCCTAGAGTGCACCCCAGAGTGCGATTCCGCTTCGAATAGAATCGCGCTGCTTATTAGGAAGGCAATAGTATTGGGATAGAGACACAAGGTCCCGTTTCTATTTAGGATAAGAACGCGGCCATAACAGGTAGCCTGCCACGAAGAAGATCGCGCGCTGCAGACGACATAATGTGTTCGAGGTTGAGTCCGGGCCGTTATCAACGCAGTCCAGGACACAACGGACAACGGGCGGTGATTGTCGAGTCTCAGAGCCCAGAAGCGAGATTAAAAGCTCTTTCAGCGGAATCCTTGAGGTCCGTCAGCCCGGGCAGCGACAGTGTCTTTTACAGCGAGGGCGCGGACCAATATCTTGCTATCAGCGCGCTCGACGCTCCGCATTGTTATCACTGCGGCAGAGAGGTAAATTATTTATCGTTTGCTAAGTTCCTCCTTTGAAAGGAAGGAAGGTACTGCGAAATGGAACTTATTGACATAGTTGCAACGGTGATTAAACAAAGAACGCGGCGTACAAAGGCTGTAGATATCGGACGGGCATCGGGGCAACCCCTCGGGGCAGCGTGGTCTGCTTGTGCAAACAGGAGGTTGATTACAATTTTTAGATACGTAGGGAATTGTTTATGGAATTATTGAATTGTGGATGGTTAAATTATTCGAGTGGTAAACACTATGCTTGTGGGATGAGTTCTTGAAATTTAGAGCGAAGTAGGAGACTTTGGGAAATTTATTTTGAGATATTCTTACAATAATTGGAAGAAATTATTGGAATTAGTTTTTTAGTTATACAAGTACATTTCACTGGAGAATAAAATTAGAGACATAGGAGAATAGGTCTTGTAATATTTATTTCGAAATAAATTACAAGACGTAGATGTCGCTGAAGTCGTTTTAAGTACTACATCAGAAGAGCTACAAAATTTAAATAAAATTTAGAATATTAATAATAAAATTTTCTGTGATTTCTAAATTCTATAATTTTCTATAATTTTCTATAATTTTCTAAGAAACATGGTACCTGTAGAAGATTGATTATTATTAATATTCATGAATATAAAATATAGAGATAATTTAAATATCGCGCCATCTGTGTTTGCTTCAGGCAATATCTCTCATTGCTTCTAATGGTTGTCCTGGTGACTGTCATTACTGTAGTGCATAGTGTAGTTAGTTGCTTGGATCTTGAATTTCTTCCTTTCTTCTTATTATTTCTATAATCATATCGTACAAAGACTACATACTTACAAAATCCCCGAGACTGATTTATAACAACATTTTTAAATAAAAATTCTTATGAGTTTAACATCAGTCTCACAAACGTCATAGTATACAAAACAAAACTCTCGAAGTTGAGATCGATCTATCTCTCTATCTATCGGTCTATCTACCTCTTTTCTCTATCGTGCGTGCCATCGTATTGCTCCACCTCGAGGTCTCGGAAGAGATCGTTCGACCGCCAGCAGGTTTCGCGGACTCCCCTGAAGGACATCGATCCTCTTCGAAGCACGTGTCGGGTCATAGGCTGTACAAGAAGTTCGACAAGAGGTACCGATCCGAGGATCGTGGCGATAGAAGACATCGGCGAAGTAGCGCAGGGAGGTCGGACGTTAGGGCGAAATCGGAAGAGAGGATCGCTTCTAGAAGAGGAAGCAGGGGATCCATCGATGACACTGCTGCGGGGCGGAAGAGACTTCATGCGAGGAGCACGGATGTCAGTTTGGAAATTCTCACGGGTTAGTATAATTTTTTCTTAGCTGTTTTATTTTTTTTCTTGTCTTTCTTCTCGTCAGTACATCAGGACCGTATATAAAACTTCTCTGGTTCTTTTAAATAAGTACAAATTAAAATTCTTTTTGCACAAATAAGAGTTTAAAAGAACATGTATTTTCATTTTTATGAAGCTTTTCATATTATCATGGCAATAGTTATTTCTATTATAAGCAAGTAATTTTTAGTTACAACAGAATACGAAATGAAAATAGAAAATTATTATACTGTTAGTACATCAAGGCCATATGTAGAACTGCTCAGGTTCTTTTAAATAAATACAAATTAAAATTCTTCTTGGGCAATCAAAAATTTAAAACAACACCTGTTTTCATTTTTGTGAAGTTATTTATATTATTGTAACGATATTATTATAACGATAGTAATTTATATCATAAGCAAGGAATTTGTAGTGTTATAGTGGAAGGTTATAACAAAATTTATAAAATAAATGAAAATGGAAAATTAAAAATTAAAATTAAAAGTGGAATTATTTTAAGAGGTGAACAATTTTTGCTGTACAATTTTGAGGTCTCTAAAACTCAATGTTTGGAAGGAGGAATTTTAGAATTAAACACACATGACCATTAAGTAAAGTATGCCACTGCGTGTGAAATATATGTACAGTGTGATTCATGTGACAGGGACATTTTCCTGAAGGCAGAAAAAGTTGAACGAAAAAGATGAATAGCTCAAAGTCAACTATGCGTCCACATTTTTTTTCCAGAGACGTAATGCATTTTTCGTGTACACTGCCTTGTGCATATTTTATTGACAAGTTAATTAATGAAAATTGAAAATATATAAATAAAAAATATCATAGTGATACAATAAAGTAAATCGCATATGGACATAAACTATTTAAATAGAAAACGTTTAATTGAAACGTGAATATTCGTAAAATGATTTCTTTTGTCTCGTTCATATGGGAAACGCGATATCATAAAGTTTTATTCGGTACACCGTAGAGAGCTTATTCGAAAAATTTTTCTGTATAAACCGTGTTTGTGCCTGACACAAAAATCCATTATATGCAAAAATGTGTACGAAGCATCGTAGAACCGTTATAATAAAAGTAAGCAAATATCGCAGCGTTGTAAAAAGTTACGTAATGAAACAGGATTTAAAAAAATTGAGTGGATCCAGTAACGTTCATTAAAAAAGTTTTCCACTTCTCACTGGATCCATTTACTTCCCTTCAAGGTGATTAGCCGTTTCCCTGCTCGTTGAAGTCCAATGAAAATCAGTGAAAGGGATAATAAAACAAACGACGTATTTACAATTTTTATTAGACTTGTCGTTTGTTTATTTCGTTGTGCTCAATTAAAAGTTTCTTTGAGGATATTATGGAAGTATTGAATTTTAATTCTGTTGGGAATAATGGGGATTTGTGACTTTAATTGTTATTCAATTTTAGAATTATTAGATTTAGTAATTTGAAAGGTTACGATTTCGAATTTTCACGTTTGGAAATTCGAAAATTTCTTAATTTCTAAATTTCCGAATTTCCAAATTTTAAATTGTCATATGACCAAATTTTTAAGTTTCAGAATTTCTAAATTTCCGAATTCCTAAATTTCAAATTATCATATGACCAAACTTCTAAGTTTCAGAATTTCTAAATTTCCGAATTCCCAAATTTCAAATTGTCATATGACCAAATTTTTAAGTTTTAGAATTTCTAAATTTCCAAATTCCTAAATTTCAAATTGTCATATAACCAAATTTCTAAGTTTTGGAATTTCTAAATTTCCGAATTCCCAAATTTTAAATTGTCATATTACCCAATTTCTAAGTTTCAGAATTTCTAAATTTTCGAATCCCCAAATTGTAAATTCTCATATTACCAAATTTCTAAATTTTAGAATTTCTAAATTTCCGAATTCCCAAATTTCAAATTGTCATATTACCAAATTTCTAAGCTCTAAAATTCCTAAATTTCACAACTTCTAAATTTGAAAAATCCCAAATTTGATGACTTGAAAATTTTGAAATTTGCAAATATATTACGTTCATTTCATGAGTGTTCACTGTATCGAATATATTGAAAAGAATGATAGTTACTTTATCTCCCAGGTCGCCATTTTCCCCAGAATCCATCATACTAAAAATAATATACAGTACATAAAACTAGTACATTATCGTATGATCTACTATCAAATGATGGTATTAATTCAAACCTAAACTCGAAGCTTTTATAATAACTGTCTCATAACCTATAAACAGGAATACAAGTGACCTCAATCTTCACTTCTCAGGAATAGAGTGTACCTTCAATATTTTCCCACGAAATTCAGCAATAACGTCTATATTACAAAAATAACATCCAGAAATACATTTTAAAATTGAAAAACGTGAAAATGGGAAGGAGTCTGGGATCAAACTTAAATTTATATGATCCCTGTCTAAGAATACAAAATGAAGCTGCAGAAATCCTCGAATAACTTTGGATAAGATTTCAAAAATATAATACTTAAAAATATTGAAGTGCTTCAAAAAATTCAAGGTTTGGTTGCTACAAAATTGGTTTGTAGACTCTAATCAATAAACTCATTAACCTATTTAATATGACAAACTTCAGTTCTGAAGATGAGCAAAGAAGGTCTCCTCAAATATTATTTGGTCTCTTCGAATAATCCACATAGCAGTTCATTTTGAGACAATATTATTTTACTGAAGATCCTTGACCCACAACTAGATTATTCACTTCATTCTGACATGGAGATATTGTTTTAGAAAATCCGTATATCAAGTTTAAGATAATTGACCCACAATTGAGTTATCCTTGGAGCTCTTCATTTTGATGGGGCAATATTACTTTAGTTAATACATATATGAAGTTTAGGGTCATTCAAGCACAATTGGATTATCATTGATCTTCATTTTGACAGAACAATACTATTTCAGTGAATGCATATATCAAGATCAAAGACTGATTCGTGATTATCTACATAGCTCTTCATCTTGGAGGAACAATATTATTTCAGTGAATGCATGTATTGACTTCAAGGTCATTGATCCATAGTTGTCAAGATAGTTCTTCATTTTGGAAGCACAATATTATTTCAGTGAATGCATATAATAGCTTCAAGGTTATTGAACCATGGTTATCAACATAGTTCTTCATTTTGGAGGAACAATTTTATTTCAGTGAATGCATATATTAGCTTCAAGGTTATTGAACCATGATTATCAACATAGTTCTTCATTTTGGAAGAACAATTTTATTTCAGTGAATGCATATATAAGCTTCAAAGTTATTGAACTATGATTATCAACATAGTTCTTCATTTTGGAAGAACAATTTTATTTCAGTGAATGCATATATTAGCTTCAAGGTTGTTGAACCATGATCATCAGCATAGTTCTTCATTTTGGAGGAACAATTTTATTTCAGTGAATGCATATAACAAGTTTACACATATGCACATAACATATGTATAATATAATATACATATAACATATAACAAGGTTATCAACATAAAAATGTTGCTGATATTTATGAATGTAACTCTTCATGTTTATTAAATGATATTATTTTAATGAATACATATAACAAGTTCACACATATACATATAACATATGTGTAATATAATACATATGCATATAACATATAACAAGCTTATCAACATAAAAAGGTGATTAATGTTTATGAACGTAACTCTTCATTTTGATTAAATGACATTACTTTAGTGAATGCATATAACAAGTTCACACATATACATATAACATATGTGTAATATAATACATATACATATAACATATAACATTCTTATCAACATAAAAATGTTATTAATGTTTATGAACGTAACTCTTCATTTTGTTTAAATGACATTATTTTAATGAATGCATATAACAAGTTCATACATATACATATAACATATGTGTAATATAATACATATGCATATAACATATAACAAGCTTATCAACATAAAAAGGTGATTAATGTTTATGAACGTAACTCTTCATTTTGTTTAAATGATATTATTTTAATGAATGCATATAACAAGTTCACACATGTACATATACCATATGTGTAATATTATATAATACACATATACCATATAACGAGGTCATCAACATATAAAGGTTATTGATGTTTATGAACATAACTCTTAATTTTCATTAAACAATATTATTCTACCGAATGCATATATCAATTTCAAAGTCATTGAACCTCGAAGTTACTTATCATTATTTTTTAATGTAATACCAGGTCGTGAGGACGAGGACAGCTACGTCGAACCCTACACCAGCAGCGAATGGATTTACATCGGTGACCTCGAGGAGAGCCACGTGTGGAAAAGGCCTGACAGCAGAGGTGACGACGACGAGGTTCCGGAAAGTGTCGCTAAAGAGAGGAGAAGCTCTCAGGAGTCGACAGAAAGCGAGAGAAACTTTCGGAAGAAGTATCAGGCAGCGACGCACAGGATGGTACATCGGAAAAGCAGCGGGGAAATGTATAAGAGGATACAAACGAAGAGTTTCGGTAAGTTGTCGGACTACATTATCCTATTATTGCTTCTTTCACGGTTCGTCAAACATCCCCTACCGACGCGAAACAGCCCCTGCTGAAATAAAGCGCATCGCGCTCTTATTGGATGAATGTCCGTTTCTGTCGGTCTTGTCTGTTTTATTGTTCTTCATGCAGGTGATGTTTATAGTGCTTTTAATTAGCTTTAATTAGACGCTTTTTTACTTTCAGCGACTTTTAGTTTGAGTTAGGTACTTTTGATGTTTGGTGCGGAATTTTTGTTATGGAGACTGTTTTGGAGACAATGTATCTGTAATATATCGAGTATGGTATCGTGAATTTTGAGAATTTGTGAAATTTGGGTATTTGGAAGTTTGAGAGTTTAGAAGCTTGGGTGATTGGACATTTGGGTGTTTGGATACTTGGGAAATTAAGAAACTGGGGAATTAGGAAACTAGGGAAGTAGAAAATTAGGAGACTGGGAAATTGGGAAATTGGGAAATTAGGATGTTGGGAAATTGGGAAATTAGGAAATCGGGAATTTGGGAAATTAGAAAATTGGGGATTTAGGAATTTAGGAATTTGGGAAATTGGGAAATTGGGAATTTGGGATTTTGGGAAATTGGGAAATTGGGAAATTAGGAATTTAGAAATTTGGGAACTTGGGAATTTGGGAATTTGGGAATTTGGGAATTTGGAAATTTGGGAATTTGGGAATTTGGGAATTTGGGACATTGGGAAATTGGGAAATTGGGAATTTGGCAAATTGGGAAATTGGAAAATTGGAAAATTGGGAAATTAGGAAATCGGGAAATTGGGAAATTAGAAAATTGGGAAATTGGGAATTTAGGAATTTGGGAAATTGAGAATTTGGGAATTCGGGAATTTGGGAAATTGGGAATTTGGGAAACTAGGAAATTAGGAAATTAGGAAATTGGGAAAATGGAAAATTGGGAAAATGGAAAATTGGAAAAATGGGAAAATGGGAAAATGGGGAAATGGGAAAATGGGAAAATGGGAAATTGGGAAATTAGGAACTAGGAAAATTGGGAAACTGGAAAATTAGAAACTAGGGAATTATGAAGTAAGAAATTAGAAACCAAGGAAATTCAAAGCTTAAGAAGTAAAAATTAAGAATTTAAAAATTCACCCCTTACCCTAAAAATATAATAATAATTTCCTCGACGCTACCATTACAATCTCAAAAAATAATGCAAATGTAAAACGACCCGTTAAATCATCATAAACAATCATTAATAGCACGCTGTTTCTTTACCAGATATTTTATTTCACCCCGAAATACAATATAATATGAATTTCAAATGTGGAGCAACATTCTGAATTTACAATCATTATAAAATAACCCGGCTGTTTTCTTCATATACAAATGGTAAAACACAGCATTGTAAATTATGGATAAACACAAATGTATGCATACTTTTCATTGCAGCAGAAACAACAGATATTAATTACGCGACAGAGTTCAAACAAAAATGGCCGATTATTTTGAAACACTGTAAATATTCCAGCAAGTGCCACAAAGAAGTTTTAATAGCTGTCACTGCCATATATAGCTCAAAATAGCGGTGGCTCGCGTTACCTCCCCTGCTTTTTAATAGAAATATAATTCCATCAGATTACTGAGAAATCGATATCGTTTTTCTGCGTTGTTTTTGTAAAAAGAATTGCGTGGTACGTAGTTAATTATTTACGACAAACAGCATATTCTGTTTTTAATATTTTCCGTGTTTTATTTATTGTATACATTCGTATGTCTTATTTCGGTTCAAATATTTAATTCAATTGAAATGAAATAAATTATTAATAGTGAGTTGAATATTAATTTATTAAAATGCATATGTTTAAACGAATACATACATAAATATAGGCATACATTTATGAATTATTAATAATTAATTAATAGTAATAAACTTGCACAGCTAAAATTATTTACAGGTAACAATTATTACTTTCTGTGTAAATAATAATTTAGTACATAGCTAACATTATTATCACAAAATAATTTATGATGTATTCTAATAAAATTAAGATATTTTATAAATTGTTTACTGAAAATGTGTTATTTACTACATTACGTACACTCCTTGTCATAAAACAAGATGGAGGTCTCGTTTGTTGAGTTTATTGACGTTCGACTGCTGTCCAAATATTTACATAAAATTTGCAACCTAGTATCAGTGAACCCCTCGGAATATATAATGAAGAATTTGAATAATTCTCGATATTGTTTTCGTCTCTAACATCTTAAAGCTTTCTGTGCTAAAAATTCACGATCACTTTCGTTGCTTCAATTTCACATTTCAGATTCGTTTTACGAGAAACCGAGGTCGATAAAAACCTAAATATTAAAAGCGGAGGTAAATAAAGCGACAGTCAAAGCGATAATAAAAAAGTGAATACTTGCGTGCACCTTTATAAATCTTCGCCTATTTATACGTAAAGAATCGATCGCAAATAAAATGTTCCCTACTTCCATGAATATTTTACAGACCTTGAAAGCCATTCTTATAGCGAAGGCTATAATATCTCTAAATATACGATAAATATGCAAAATGTATCAAGGTTATAATCAACCAATTTTTATTTATATAATATGGTAGAGTCGCGATGCAAGGAACATAAGGTTGCTTTTATCGAAGATGAAAAATGCGTTCAGAAAAATTTGAATAGAAATGTGAAAATATACGTAAATTGATTTGTAATGTCTTGAGAAGGGAATAGGATTCGTGAAATGAAAGCGAAGATGTCTACCGATGGCAAGACATGGGTTGGTGCGTGAAGAGGTTGACTCAGGTGTTTAATAAGAAGATATAAGGAAATCATTATACTATTACTAATTGTGAATCCATATATATTTCTGAATTCTTATATTAACAAATTTTTGTACTCTTGAGTTAATATATCTTTAAATTTCTATGGTCTTGAATACTTACAATATTACCGACATCCTACGTTTCAGAATTATTACGCTTCCAAAACTCTACACTTCCGAATGCCTACATTCCCAAATCCCAACGTCCCCAAATTCCAACGTTCCCAAATTCCAGCCTTGCCAAATCTCTACATCCCCGAATCCCTACCTTCCCAAATCCCCACGTCTCCAAATCCCCACGTCCCCAAATCTCCACGTCCCAAAATCCCCACATCCCAAAATCCCCACGTCCCAAAATCCCCACGTCCCAAAATCCCCACGCCCAATTCCTCACGTCCCCAATTCCCCACGTCTCCAATTCCTCACGTCCCCAATTCCCTACGTCCCCAATTCCCCACGTCCCCAATTTCCTACGTCCCCAAATCTTTCTGTACCCAAATCCCTCTATCCCCAAATCCCTATGTCTCCCAAATCCCCATGCCCCAAATTCCTACATCCCCAAATCCCCAAATCCCCATGTCCCCAAATCCCAACCTTGCGAAATCCCTACATCCCCAAATCCCAACCTTGTCAAATCCATCCATCCCCAAATCCCAACCTTGCCAAATCCCAACATCCCCAAATCCCAACCTTGCCAAATCCCTCCATCCCCAAATCCCAAACTTGCCAAACCCCTACCTCCCCAAATCTCTCCATTCCCAAATTCCCATATTCCAAAATTCTCACACACCCAAATCGCTACAGTCCCCATCGCTATATTCCCAAATTCCCACATCTCCAAATCAGTACAACCCAAGTAGCTACGGCGCAATTGGTCAGAATAGAAAAATGGACGCCGCTCGCACGTATTTTCGACGGTAGATTGGCTCTCGCGGTCACGCACACCAATTAGGCGAAAAACAATGACAGTCTTGAAACGTCTCTCAAGTGAGATGCTACTTGCGTTCAGCAGTTGTCATTATTATTCTTATTTGTATGTCACTGGAAATGTACAGAGCTTCTTTTACTTTGACCTCACGCGCCAACTCTGGGGTCGACATCTGTATGCATATCGGACAGCTTTGAAATAACGACGGATCGGTGGAAAAAAATGAACGATGTTCGAGTGGTTGGTTGAAATAATTTCGATGTTATTGGAGTGGTACGTCAATCAGTTTTAAACGAGGATATCACCGTTTTAAATACACTCCACTTAATGAACTATATTTAACGGTAACGTTTGTGAACGACGAGTAGTTTACATAGAATCGATTGCTCTTCGCCTTTGGTAGTAATTAAATGAACCGAAGTCCGTCTCTTTATGACAATTAAATGACAGCCATTACACTTTGTTAGAGAAATATTTGCTTTCACTTAACGGCGACGGTGTACAATGTGTGTGTCAAACAACGGGGTAACATCTGTGAAAAGGAGGAACCGCGTCTACTTGCAAGCGAGACATTTATTTGTTTCCGATAACGTTAAGGTTCCAAAGCGTTCATTTTGCTGGGTCAGCTCATTTTCTAGTCGTACTTGGAGACTTACAAATTTTGGGGAAGGCTTGCACAATTTTCAAATTACGAAAGTTTGGAGATTTGGAATATTGGGATAAAAGGAATTTGGAGTTATAGGGTTCTGGAACATTGGAGCTTTGGAAATTCTAAATTTTGGGAATTTGCAATTTGGGATCTATGAAAGTTTGGAAATTTGGAACTTTTGGATTTTGAGAATGAGGGATTTTAGAATTTTGAAACTTTGAGAATTTGGAAATTTTCTATTTTGGCACTCTGCAATATCGAAACTCTGCAATTTTTGAAGTATAAGAGTTTGGAAATTTAGGGTTTTAGGTCTTCGCAAATTTTGAGTATTAGGATTTTGAAACCTTGTGATTTTGGACGTTTTCAACTTTAGAACTCTGCAATTTTGAAACTATAAGAGCTTCAAAATTTGGAATTTTAAGTCTTTGCAAGTTTTGACTTTTAAAATTTTGGAACCTTGTGACTTTGGACATTTTTAATTTTGAAACTTTGCAATTTCGGAACTATAAGCATTCGAAAATTTCATTATTACAATATTGAACAATTTGAAGATACAAAAGTTCATAATCTTGAACATAAAAATACAATTATTGATAAGTGTAGTAATTACAAATTCAGACAAGTAAGAATCATCAAAAATTCAGTAAACCATCCGAGAATCGTACTATTTTCCAAGAATCCAAGGGGTTTTTATCGTAGGATAAAATATTCTGATTTATACGAGAAATAAATCATTCTGTGACTAATCTTCGTTTTTATAACAACTATCTTGGGAAACATTCAGATGCAACCCGTAATACCTTCGTAGGATTACAAGCGCCCTTCGGAGCTTCCCGTTTGAGAGCGTAAATTTAGTAGCAGCTTCAGGGCGTTATGTATCTTCGGGCAAATTTAGCGAATATTTATGCAAACATGGAATTACAGACGCTGACAATACATCACCACTCTCGCTACAAATTTTATGCTCTCTATGAATTATGTGATCGTTGTTATATCACCGAATATGGTACTTTTAGAGCTGTTCTTTTACACTTTAACGCTCCTTCTTTTTACACAAATTGTTTATTTATGAAAATCTTCTTGTATCATAAAATATTCATTTTGTAGTAGATTTATTGATTTATTGTTATATGAATTTTTATTTAAATTTTAGTATTGTTAAATTTTGTTGTTTTTTAGTTTATGAATTTTTAAGGTATGTTTTCAAGTTTTTCATTTTTTAATGATTTCAAGATTTGAAAGTTTGAATTTTTTGAAAATTGGAATTTTTTTAATTGAAAGGTTTGATTTAAAGATTTAAGCAGACGACGTGAATTAAAGATTTGATTTGAAGATCTAATTAGGCGACTTGAATTAAAGATTTGATCTGAAGATTTAATTAGACGACTTGAATTAAAAATTTGATTTGAAGGTTTAATGAGACGACTTCAATTAAAGATTTTATTAAAAAATTTGATTTGTAGGTTTGCGCATTTAAGAGTTTCAAACTTTTAAGATTTGAAGATTTGATTTGAAAATATGATTTGTTAACTTGAATCCAGAACTTGATCTGAAAAGTTGCATTAAAAATTAAATTTGAAGTTTTTAATTTGAAAAATTGATTTTAAAGTTTGAATACTTGAAAGTATAAAATGGCTAAGATTTTATGACTTGATTTAGAGATATGATTTGTCGTCTTGAATGAAAAACTTCATTCGAAAAATTGTTTTGAAAATTTGGTTTGAAGATTTCATTTGCAGATTTTATTTGAAAATTTCATTTGAAGATTTTGTCTGAAAATTACATTTGAAGATTTCATTTAAAATTTCACTTGATGATTTTGTTTGAAAATTTCATTTAAAGATTTCATTTAAAAATTTTACTTGAAGATTTCATTTGAAAATTTCATTTGAAGAATTCATTTGAAAATTTAATTTGAAGAATTCATTTGAAAATTTAATTTGAAGATTTCATTTAAAAATTTAACTTGAAGATTTCGTTTGAAAATTACATTTGAAGACTTCATTTAAAAATTTCACTTAAAGATTTAATTCGAAAATTCGATGTAAAAATTCAAAAATATAAAACTTACAAAATGTACTCGTTTGAAAATACAAAAAAAATAAATCTTAATGTATTCCATTCGCACAGAAAACGTTCGCCCATCTCGTACAGCACTAAAGCTCTCGCTATATCGCCATATTCCCAAAAGAGGTCCATCACGTTCGCCATTACACAAAGCACAGAAACGTATAAATTCCATTCCCGATTCTAAGAGGCTGTAACTAAAATTTCCTCCGCGTGGCGACACATCACCGAGGAATGTCCCGAAAGACAAAGAAATCGTTCCCGATACCGGCAGCTTGCACGACGAAAAGAGAAAGCAGAGGGAGAAACAGCGGAGGAAAAGCGTGTCGAAAGGGAAAGCGGAAGAGGGACGGGAAAAAAGAGAGGAAGAAAGAGGGAATCGTTCTTCCCGTTTCTTTAAATAAGCACCGCGTAATACTCTGGCTAAATATAATCGAAACGGCGCAGCTGAGAGAAAGAGACGCCCAGCGTCGACTGCTGCCGACGCTTCTGCGACGTCGGCGTCTACCAGATACATGTGACGAGTAGTTTACGTTGTTTGATTAGAAAAAGCGAATCTCACGTAATACAAACCTTTCGATTTCTTTGATACTCGGATACGCGGGTATATCTGGAACACTTGGTGGCTTCCTTTGGGTGTACGGAAATAGTTGTATATTTGATGGGTTTGTAGATTTTTTATTTGGGGGATTTTTAGGTTTTGGGGTTTAAGATGTTTCGGGTTGGTAAATTAATAGATTTTGTAAATTATGGAATAGGTGTATATTTGAGTTTCTGGACAGTTTCGAGATTTTTAATTTGTAAGATTTGCAAGTTTTGGGGTTTGCAATATTTCAGATTGGTAAATTGACAAATTTTGTAAATTATGGAATAGGCGTATATTTGAGTTTCTAGACAGTTTCGAGATTTTTAATTTGTGGGATTTGCAAGGTTTAGGGTTTGCAATATTTCAGATTGGTAAATTAATGGATTTTGTAAATTATGGAATAGGTGTATATTTAATCAGTTTCTAGATTTTTAATTTGTTGGATTTGCAAGGTTTAGGGTTTGCAATATTTCAGATTAGTAAATTGATAGATTTTGTAAATTATAGAATAGGTGTATATTTGAACAGTTTCTAGATTTTTAGTTTGTTAGATTTGCAAGTTTTAGGGTTTGTGAAAAGTTAGATTGGAAAATTGATAGATTTTGTAAATTATGGAATTGTCGAATTTATGGAATTTATGAAATTTTCAATTTAATGTTAAATGTATTATTTTCTGAGTTATTAAACTTTTACTTGTGCATTTACTAAATTAATAAAATACTAGATTGTTTACTTAATTACTAAATTACTAAATTTATAAGTTTGTAAATTTGTAAATGATCAATCTGTGATTCATAGAAGATTTGTAAATAGCCATTTCCTAAATTACTAAATTTGCAAACTACCAATTCTAATTTTCCTAAATTTGCTAATGGTCAGTTTCTACGTTACTCAATTTGTAAATGAACAGTTTGCAGATTGATATATTTGCACATGAGCAAATCCTAAGTCACTAAATTTGCAAATGACCAATTCCCAAGTTACTAAATTTGCAAGTGATCAATTCCCATGCTACTAAATTTGCACATGACCAAATCTCAAGTCCCTAAATTTGTAAGTGACCAAAACCCAAGTCACTAAATTTGCAAATGACCAAATCCCAAGTCCCTAAATTTGCAAATGACCAAATCCCAAGCCACTAAATTTACAAATGACCAAAACCCAAGCCACTAAATTTGCAAATGACCAAAACCCAAGTCACTAAATTTGCAAATGACCAAATCCCAAGTTCCTAAATTTGCAAGTGACCAAATCCCAAGTCACTAAATTTGCAAATGACCAATTCTGAAATTACTAAATTTGCAAATGACCAAATCCCAAATCACTAAATTTGCAAATTAAAAAATTTCAAAATAACCATCTCCAAATGACTAAATTCCCACATTTTCAAATTAATCATCATCTAATTTCCAAATACCCAAGTTTCACAATAACCAAATCCTCAAACTCTCTAGTTTCTTACATCCTCAAATTTCCAGCTCTTCATATCCCCAAATTTTCAATGAACTTCCCAACTTTCTAAATTCCCAAATTTCTAAATTGTTAAACTTTCGTAAGGAAGCCAGATTTGCCTCTAACTAGTCCACTGTTCCTATCTACTAGAACAAGTGCTTTTAAGTACACCAATTTCATCTGCATAAGGTAAGTAGCGAGTTGCAGACTACTTTTCTATTTAATTATAATTTCTAACTTCTAATTTAACTTTTATAAATAAACTATGAAGGCGCTGTTAATTTACTACTTTAAAGTTGTACGGGAGCTATGAACCTTCTTTAAATAAGTTCTTGAAATCCTCAATAATCATTTTACTGAATATGTCCAGGAGCTATGAACCCTGTATTCAAATAATTTCCCCAAATCCTCAATCATTTTGCTAAATACGTACAGGAACTATGAACCTTGTATTCAAATAATTTCCCCAAATCCTCAATCATCATTTTGCTAAATGTGTCCAAGAACTATGGACCTTGCATTTAAATAATTTCCCCAAATCCTCAATCATCATTTTGCTAAACGTGTCCAAGAACTATGAACCTTGCATTTAAATAATTTCTCCAAATCCTCAATTATCATTTCGCTAAATGCACCAAAATTCCAAATAGATCTCTGATACAAAACAAGTGTATAGAATACTGGAGTATAAAATTATTTATTAAAATTCTAAAAATGTATTTACTTCGACAATTAAACTGTGTAAAATTTTGTTGATATCTGTATAATCTGTTACTAACGTTAGTATCATAATATTATAATAAAACTCCCAATAACGTACCTTTGCTCAATTTCTATCATTTTTACGTACTGTTTCGTCACAAATGCACCCACTTAAGCAAATTCATACCGCAAAGGTACAACGCTTTCGCAACTCTAATTTTACAAAATCAATACAGTGGTAACTATCTACCTCTCGACTCATTCAAACCAAACCCGTTCCTAATTACCCACTGCTCGCAATTTACCAAAATTCCGTTCCTCTGGAACATCGTTTCCGCCTCGTACCAACTACTTTGAATTCCATTCATCGGCATACCCGTCAAAGTATTCCAAGGATCGTCCAGAAACATATGAACGTACACATATACTCGGCCTCAAAAGTAATTGGACACCTATTAAAATTTCAAAGACTCATCAGTAGGAACATACGTTTCAAATCGTTCAAATATTTAACCTACTGAAATGGTAATTCGGTCAAGATTTGTAGGAAACGGTAATCTTATTGTAGACACGTTTTATCTATTATTTTTAGACTGTTTTTAAGGAAATACTAATTCAAGCTTTTTTGTTATTAATTGTATTAAGGAAATAGTAACACGTATGTGATAATAATAGTACTGGTATGAATTTATATGAGAATTTTACAAAATTATTCTTTCGAAAGTAGATATTCTAATAAAATACAGAGTTTTTACATTTACAGTAATATAAACGTTATAATAATATTATTAGTTTATGGTAATGTATTAGTTAGTTTAAAGAAGTTATATTAGAAGTTAAATATGATTAAAATTGGGACACGTACTTATGACTTTTGCACGGGAATGTACAGTCGCGAGCAGCGCAGATTTCCCTAGAGAAAATGATGACGTAAGAGGAACAGAATTTATCACTCGTTCGGATTGGTAGCGAAATTTTTAAATTTACGAACTATCGTATGTAAAAATTTAGAAACTCGAGATCTAGGAGACGGGGAATTTTTGAGTTATGCAAATTAGGGGAAGTAGGACGTTGTGGGGATTTAGGGATTTAGGTGTTTGAGAATTTAGGAATCTGGGAATTTTGGTGTTTATGTATTTGGGAATTAAGGGATATAGGGATACAAGAATTTACGAATTTTGGAATTTTGGGATTTGGGAATTTAGGGATTTGGGGGTTTGGGGGTTTGGAGATTTGAGGATTTGGGAATTTGGGGAATTTGGGGGTTTGGGGGTTTGGGGATTTGAGGATTTGAGGATTTGAGGATTTGAGGATTTGAGGATTGGGGAATTTTGGGAATTTTGGGAAGTTTGAGAATTTTGGGAATTTTGGGAATTTTGGGAATTTTGAGAATTTTGAGAATTTTGGGAATTTAGGGATTTTAGAATTTGGGGATATAGGTATTTGGAGACTTAGGGATTTAAGAATTTAATGATTTATTGTTTTAGGGAATAACAAATTTATGAAGTTGAGGATTTAGGGATTTACAAATTTAACGATTTGGGAATTTAGCAATTGTGAAATTTAGAGATATAACGATTTAGGGATTTACTGATTTAGAAACTTGAGAAGTTAGAAATTTGGGGATTTAGAGATATGGCAGTTTAGGTTAGGTTTTTACTAATGTAGGAATTGAGACATTTAGTGATTTAGAAATTTGGAGTTTTAGGGATTTGAGAATTTCATAATTTCCTACTTTGCAACTTACGAATTTACAAATTTCAAAATATAAACTTTGATGATACCGAAAATTAGGAACTTCAGAAAACTTCCAACATTTGCACTTTAAAGAATAAAATAACCAAAATTGACAAGTTTAACACTCTCCAAACTTGCCAATATAAAACTCTGAAAATCCACAAACTCAACAACTTACAAATCTAAAAATACAAAAATTGACTCTCATAAAAATTGCATAAACTTATCGAAACTAAATTACAGAACTCTTTCAAAAAACAACTAATCCTTATCCACAACCCATCACTACTTCTGTGAACAAACTACTATTTGATACAATCACAGTTTCAACGCTGCATCACAAATATTTTAAAAGATCCTCAAATCGACTCGCCTTCACACATGTCATCACACGCATTATATTATATTAATAAATATAAATTATATTACAAAATATCCCTCTTAAAACGCATTCATCCTCATCCATCTCCCTGCCACCTAAAAGCTTAAACCCGTCACTCAAAAAGACAAATCTCCATAATCGTCATGAAGCTCTCTATCACCTTTATGAAGGCTGATCATATGTGTACAGACTATCTCAATAAAGACAATCTCAAATCTTCGTAATCGTCACAAAGCTCCATCGATTAATCGTATGCGTGTAAAGTCGATCTGAAATCTCCGTAATCGTCACAAAGTTCTATCGGTAAATCGTATGCGTGTAAAGTCGATCTGAAATCTCCGTAATCGTCACGAAGCTCCATCGGTAGATCGTATGCGTGTAAAGGCGATTCGCGGTCGTCTAAATATCCCGAGCAAAGTTAAGCCGAAGTGGTGTATCGGCGAGGAGGGAAACGAGCGTCGGTTACT